TAACAAAGAATCTGAAGCAGTACTTCCTGCATCAGATCCTAAGTTCTGCTTCAGAAGCAATATCACAGGGAGAAAGCTACTTTGCCTTGATTAGGAGCCTTTCAAGAAAAGAGTCTGTCAGTAAGTGACTTGTTCCAACTAGCCTTAATTCTAAAATTGTCCCTCTTATACCAGTCACCTTCAATTAGAAAAATTATTATTCCCAGATTTTATATAATACCACCAATGTGGAAGAGGTCAAGATGTCAGTCTCATGACTGCTGAAAGATGAGCTGAATCCAGTATCTAATGGAAAAGATAAAAGTATATCATGTATATTTATTTTTAGAGAGTAAAAACTTTTTGGTTCATATTTCAGAGCTTTTTTCCATATCCAAAAACAACAAGAGGAAATGAGAACTGCTCTCCTCTGCAGTCTGCAAAAGCGAACAAAAAAAAAAACCATTAGAAGACGGACCAGTATCGCCAGAAACAGCTGTTTTACAAGCCAATAGATCAATGAGCTTAACAAATGAGAATGCCCTGCATTCTAGCATTTTCTTTATGCAATTCCCCACTGCTTTGAATCCAAATACAAAGAGCGAAATCCTGTCGCCGTGAATTGAATAGGGCAAGGATTTCTCCCTAAGGAAAGGATTTTAGATAGCATGCTGAAGAGGGCTTACTGTATGGAACAAAAGCTGTCTCATTTGCCTTTTGGAAATGGATGAAGAAATTTTGCATAGTAGGTTACCTAGGACCCGACTGGGATGCTCAATGGGAATTACACTTACTGTAGTAGAATTCATTACCTATTGATTCTTTAGCACTGAGCCCAGTTCATGAACCCACTTATTCCCCTCTGTATAATACTCTCCCAAATGACAACCTGAATAATTCTTTTTCAGTTTATGAAATATTTTAGATTATAGGCTGCATATAGAAAAAGTTGTAGATTGCAAATGGAAAAATAAACAGTTTGTATGTTCTCTCTTTCTTTCCTTTTACAAAGGTGCAGACTTACAAGCCTTACTTGAAGCCTGCATTTCTACTATATAGTTTTTAATGAAAATTAAATATTTGAGCCCAGGGAAAATGGCTTAATATATTTTTGAGAGAGAAAACTCCAAGAAAATTAAAGAAAGACTAAGATACAGATTTAAGAAGCTACTTAAATGGGTATTAGATTTAAAAGACAGCAGTAATATCTTCTTTTTTTTTTATAAACAGATTTGTACTTTTTTTTTTTAATCTGAAGTGTTTCATATAATCACCTGACCACTGCCTGCAGCCAAGAAAGCCTGAATATTTAAAGACCTAGCAACACTTCTGGAATCAGGCATGTAATTATGAATATTTTCAAAGGAGAGTCTGCTACCATAAAGATCGCTGTGAATTTCCTTCAATATAAGAAAATGGCTCTGAATTTGGGTCTCTGTCCTGTGTTAGGGCAGCACAGGACAATGGTATAACTAATGTACAAATGTAATGTTTGCAAGAATTCCTGTGTTGTGCCTCCCCCCAAAAAATGCTAATACAAACAAACAAAGACAAGTGCAATGTGCCATCAGATGCAATTCGTGATGGCTTCCAACATGTGAGTGGCAGAGAGAAACTAGGACTCAGCTCTTCTGGCCCCCAGTCAAATGCTCTACCCTCTGCACCAAATGATCCCCCTGATAAATGTTACAACTAGGTTCAGCTGTCTTGAAAGAAAGCAAAATCCTTGCTGAATTTACAGTAATGCTATCACATTCCCACTTAGCAACCTTCTGCCTTTTTACAGGTGTGAAATGCAAAGGTAAAGCTTTGCTCTAGGGCTGCACCGTGATGAGAGAGGAGACGGAAATCGCTACTCACAACCCAGCAGAAACTGGCCCACAAATAGGGTGAAAGAAATACATATGACTCAGGGCATAGTAGGAGTGTTATTAAGCAGAAGAGCTACTTGAAATTGGGAATCTTTGAGAGGTAGGGGTTTTCCTAGTCTAAAATGTCAGTTGGCATTCTTGTCCGAACATTCAACTAATGCGTTAGGTAATCCTTGGGTGTAATAGCAAGGTTTAGGGACAGGACAAAGTGTGTCAGCTAAATCTTTGAATTCTTTTGCCTTCAGAGAGCAATATCAAGTCTTAAATGTGACTTGGGAATTGTTTCTGGCACTGAGTTAATACATAGATGGTCCCAGTCAGGATTAATCTGCTGCCATCCTGGCACAAGCTAGCACTGGAAAGCTCTCTGCCTGTGTTTGTGAATGAGGCTGCTGTGAACAGAGTTTTTAAAGGCAGGAGGAGCTCCTTCTCCTACGGACAGAGATCTCACTGGGGCACACAGAGGGGTCACCCATGGAGGCTACAGCTGTGAAAAAACTCACAGCCTGAATCTGAACTCCCGGGTAAAACTCTGCTGAGTACACTGAAGTTAAATAGGCAGGGAAACCACTATTTACTGAACACATTACCTATCGGTGCTGTTATCAGGAACCTGTGAGTTAATTATAGCACGTATGTTACAGTGTTTAGCAAGCAGCATCAACTGTGCCAAGAAACATTAGCCAGGGAGCGTAATATGGTACAGCCTTCCAGTGCCAATAACTCAGTATCAGTCTATGTCAAGTGATAAATCATCCCAATCCAACAGGATTCACTCAGACCATCCTAGAAGATAAGCACAACTACACACTGAAGGAAGAAAATCCCATTTCAAAGTTGAAAGGTAAAATAACTTGGAATGACAGTGAACTGTTCCCACGTGGTGAAACGTCACCACTGAGAGTCTTTCGTCGCGTTAGGTCCTTGCACAGCTTTTGGATCTGCTGACCCAGAGTCACCTCACAGCAGATGCTAACACATGCTAAGGGCTTGCAACCGATGACTGAACTGAGACCAAAGGCAGGTGTGCCTCCATGCTGCTTCAATGGGAAGTAAGACAACTCAGCTCCATCTGTCATTAATTTGGGTAGCATTGTGTAGAAAATCTGAGAGAACTATGAAGTAACACAGGGAGTTCATCTTCCTTGGAGTGAAGACACAGTAATGCAGCACTCTGTGAGCTAAATGCTCCACAGTATTCTGGTATTAACACCAGTGGCAGTAACGAACCATTCAGCAGTAACTGCCTCTCTGTCTAAGGATGACAAGCCAATTGCTGAGATTCAACAAAGCACATACAAGTATGCTTAGCTTTAGCTGTACACTGGAAGGTACACTGGAACTTGTTTCTATTCATTAAATGTATATAAGGACACAGGAACACACAGATAGCCTTAAGTTAGCAAGTGAACCCACCCACCATAAGAAAGTAAGAAATATGACACAACCCTAGAACTGATGTAGCCTTTCCCCAGTGCTAACAAATTTTTCCCAGTATGACTTGGTGCTCAATTTATCTCACCATTCAGTTCAAACAAGGTTTTGGATAGAAATTCCTATAACCCTTTCCCCCTTAAACCAACTGTTGCCATGATGGGCTGTCTTTCATGGTACAGCCTGATCATTTCTTGTGCTGCTGGTGCTATGGATCTTGTACACAGCTACAGCATGCAGTATGGAACATCCTACCTAGACCTTGCTTGTCTACCATAATTCATGCAGCTGAGGCAATGGGCTTGGGGCAAACGAGCAAAGCTTATGCGAATGCTTAAAATTAAGCATGAGCTCAAGTATTCTGCTAAGTCAGGGCCTTTCTCAGGAATGATAAATGTGAAAAACATGGAAAAGCAAGGTGAGTCCATGTGGATTGAAGACATGAGAAAATACATCTTTGGCATCAAGCAAAGTATTTGCACACATTACAGCAGCCTTCGGATTGTGAGAATCAATACTTTTCTAATGCACATTGTTGGTCAAAAAAAGCAAAAAGCATAGGAATATACCTTTAAGAAAAATAAAACAGTAGCCTTCGGATTGTGAGAATTAATACTTTTCTAATGTACATTGGTCAAAAAAAGCCAAAAGCATAGGAATATACCTTTAAGAAAAATAAAACAGGTGGTCTTACAAAGGCAATTTATTTGCAATTAACTCCTATTTCTGTGTTCATCTTTCAATATAATCCCTGTACTGAACCTTACCTGTGAACTTTACAACCATAAACTTGAATTCTGATTTCGTGAAGACACCCTTCTACTTTGTAAAGGTGGCAGCATAAGTAAAGCCCTGACAAACAGATAAATCCATAATGGTTCTGCAGAATTCATCCTTTTCCAAGTTACACATGATTTCAGAACAACACATGAAGAGTACATGGACATTCTCTCAGTGGATATGACAAACCCCAACAGCGTAGCTGAGGTAAGTTATTACTAACAGCCCATTTACTCCTACCACCAATGGCTAATTCAGCTGAAGGCCGCAGTTGGAGGTATCAGGGTGACAAATTCAAGTCAGCCATCCTAGTGGATCTGGGAGTCTGGACTCAGATCACCTGATAAGTAAAACGATGAGTACATACGTGCCAACAGCGTGCAGCATTCCAACAGAATCTAGCGCGTCTCGGGGCCATCCATATGCTCCACCATATGTCCGTGAGGAGAGGGATCCAGAATCACAGTCTCTGGAAAGGGTAGTTCTCCCAGGCTCTCAAGATACCAGCCAGGATCCCAATTTTGCTGTATTAATTGGCATGTCAGCACCTGTATTCCCTCCAACAAACTACCGATTTTATCTCAGAGGGCAAATATGGAACAAAACCAACTGTTTGCTGATTCAGAAGCTGGCTCCCACAGGGCAAGTTCTACTAGGGAGGAAAAGGTTGCTCTGGGCTGTATTTCTTCAGAGCCAATTCAACCTCTGTGTATTAACCACAAAGAAGCTGCAGCAACAGAGATGTTACCATGTAAAACAGCAGCACTGACAAGCACCTAGAAACAGACTGGTTTTTAACAGCCTAGCGTAGGGGAATACAAGTTTTTACTCACTCAGTAGAAGACAAGTTGCTTTATTTTTGCCTTCTATTCTGCTCTTCACTTACATTTTTCAGGGGGCGATTAGCTGCAGGGTATTTTCACATTTCAGTCCTACCTTATCGCTGTCCACTGTGTTCTGTGATGTCCTGGAGGCAATGGAAATGGTGTCAGGTTGACTGCTGCCATCTCCTTGGCTGTCTGCATCATCTACTCCATCTCTGCAAAAGACATAAGAGGGAAACAACAATGCTTACTTAACACACCACCTTGGAATGTGCACAACTTTATAGGTGGATTTGAGAAGTGCCGAGTCAGCGTGCCAGAGCTGGCTTTCTGCTAAAATTACTTCACTGATGCAGCCCATGTTGCACCCTCAGCCATAGGGTTGGGATTAGCACATAATCACAATGTTTGTTGCTGGAAACAGGATGGCCGTTGCCTGCATATTTACAGCAGAGAAGACTCTGGTGTTCAGAAATAGCTCTGTAATGAGGGTGTCAGGCAGAAATTTTCCTACAATTAGATCTCTGCCTTAACCAAAACCAGGCCACACGTGACACTGAAGGAAAGGGTATTTCTCTTGTCTCACAGGAACCACATCCTCAGGAATTTAATACTAAGCCATAAAAATGATATCCTAACAAATATAAATAAAGACAGTGTAGAGCTCTACAAGTCTACCTCTGTGAGTCTGCTAACAGAGGGTATTTTCTTCTCTTTTGCTGTATAGATATAGTTCTCCTACATCTTTACTGGTTTTTCTAAATAAACATTTAAATAGTACAAAATACATAATTTAAGGACAAAGAAAAAAAAAAAAATTGAGATCCCATTCTGTACTATGAAACTCTTGTATTGGTGCACATCCCCAGGAAGAAATGTCTGTATCTCTGCTTTGCTGCAGATCTCCTGAGTGTCCTTCCTTACTCATGCTTTGGATGCCTTTACAATTCATCCTGAAGTAAGAGAGTGATAGAACTTGATAAGGAAATGGAGATGCTCAAATTACAGGTGGCTTTTCAGAATTCTAGCATGAAAACAAAAGAACAATTCATTTCCTATAATTTCTATTTAATCCACGATTCAAAGAAGTTAACAAAAAAAATTAATGTAACTTCACAGGCTGAAATGGGTTTGTATTTGATGATGAAACACAGATTCTCCACTTATCATGACCAGCTGCGATTTTCATTGTCAAGCAATTCAAAAAAACAAACAGCAAAAAAAATAATCTGTTAGTACTCAAATGTGAAGAAGTAAATTCTACTTTGGGAAAGAAACATAACCTTGGACTCTGAAGAACTTTTACTGTTCGTTTCTCTCCAATACTTCGGAGTACTAAAATAAAAGACCTTTATATGTATATCACATAAGTTCTTTCTTGCTACTTTTGCCAAGAAAACATATAAAAAAGAAAGACGATGAAAACTGCTTTTGATTATAGTAAGAAAAAGTGAATGCAGTCAAAAGCCCACACTGTTGGTCGAGAAAACTAGTGATTTCACGTTGTATGGAACAACTGAGGTTACCTTCTACTGTTGTTTCGCTGCTTTGCTGGTGTCTTGGGGAGCTGAATTGGCTCTTTCAAAGCTCCTTTCAGATGGATAATCCTTTCTTGAATGACTTCCCGGATATTTTTGATCCATTCCTGTTTTGTTTCAATACTGGATGCCTAAAGTTCCACAAGGCAGAAAGACAGATACTTTATCATATTCCCAGCATGTCACCTCCTATGTAGAAGAATCGTGGTTGGCTGATGAAAGTGCATGATTAACTGTTTCTCGACTCTGCTGTATTGTTTTAGCTGCTGGAGTACCTGGTAACCCCAGAAGAACTGAAGCATTTTTACCAGACCTACTTGGCAAGCAACAGCAAAGCAGTTAAGCTCTGGATAAATATATTTAATGCTAGCAATACACCCCACTCTGTGGAGGGGAAATAGGTTATCAGTGCACAGCTGGGATTTCCTCAGACAAAATAACTATAACATGAATTCTTCGTTAGAAACTCACTTGACAGAAATGGCTGTCAGCTCTTCAGTTTTGAGGAATAGGCTGGTTGTCACCCAATGGCAAAGGACTAAGAGAACTACACCTCCCACAAACACACCGAGACCTGCCCCGTGTCAATGTGCAGCTGCTCAACCCAGGTTGCAAAAGGAGATGCAATTTCAGCAAGGCTGCACGACAGCACTTCTTGGTTCATACTGAGGCCTTAGAGCTGAATTGCTCCTGATGCAGGCATGACCCTGCTGACAGACATGGAAGCCATGCGAATATGAGGAGGGAAGAAACTGACCTTGCATTCAGTGCTCCCAAGGCCTCAACTAGCAGCTCTAAAGGCAAAGGAAACAAGCAGAAAAGACTTACTTTCAGCACTGTTTTATTGTCTGAGGATGGTGTTCGTCCAGACCACAAAGCAAATTTACAGGGATCTCCTTCAACATGTTCAGTCACTCCCAGTTCTGAGGTCTAGTGTGGAGGAGAGATGATGAGAGATTTCATATATATCAAGCCTCATGAGCCCAGAAAACTTTACATTTGTAGGGAGAAGTGGGGAGACAGGGGTGGATAGAGGAGTGAGATCTTGTCTCTGCTTTGCTACATACAGAAAACCACCAGGGTATTGCAAGGAAGTGAATGGCTTGAGTGATCCTCCTTGCCCTTCCCACCCACCCTTCACGTCTCACTTTCTTAAACATCTCCAGACTCACTGCAAGCTTGGCTTCCTGGTGAGCCCCACAGGGCCCAGAGCGAGCCCTTCCAGGTAACATGAGTATCCCCAACATGGGGACATGGGAGCCATCCCCCAAACTCCACCTCTACCTACAAGAAACACAACACCCAGAATATTTCCTTTGCAGCCACACCTACCAGTAACTTGTTCTTGTAAACATATTTTGTGTGTCCTGAAGAATCTTTGATCTCTTTGCTAAACACCAAAGAGATTTCAAAGAGAAACAAATGCCTCTCACGGCCTTTCCGAATTAGAGACTTGGGATCCCACACTTGGAAGGAATCCTGAAGAATCAGCTCTCCCTGGACGTCCAGGTTCTCATCAAACCCTAAAACCACAAAATACATTGGCTTGTATTTGTTCCAGTAATGCCCAGAAACACTAGAGCAGTAAGGACTTGAAATAAAAGGGTCTTACTCTTTTTTTTTTGATGCATATTCTGCAAGTGCATTAATGGGCATCCATTGCCCCAGAGAAAATATATTATTTTTTTTTCCTACTGCAACGATATAATTATTTAAGAGGCAAATATGTCATATGCGCTAAGTGAGACTGCTGCTAAAATACAGTAGTCATTACTTAAAGATAAATATTATAAAGGTTTCAGTGGTGGTTACTGTACATAGAATTGCAATGCAAGGAATCTTATGCACATCAACGGAAATTCAGAGAAACATAACGTGTGGTAGCTGGAAGTGCTCCATCATACCACGATGCCTTCGAGCAGACTAACCCAACATTCTAGGGCCTGTGAGTCCACAGCAGTGGCATGGGGGAGCTACATCTGTGACAGTTAATTGGTACTGTGTCTGAAACAAGGTTTCCAGGAGTTTCTCATCTTCCAAGCTGTATGACAAAAAACCTTCACACGGCTGAGGATCACAGGACTCCCTCCACATAACAGGGAGGCTTGAGTGAAAAGGGAGTCCCCCAGTGCAAGGTGCCCTCCAAGCTGCTGTCTCATCAGCTTGTGGCTCACACTTCACTCCAGAGCCAGGGACTGCTCCTCTACCAGCAGACCCTTCTGTTGCTCATGCCGGATAGCCCTGGGAGAGCAGCAAGTAGAGAGCAGCAAACAGCCCTGGTCCCTGCCCTAAATATTCAGAAATAATGTTTTATTCAGAAGACAACTGTACAAGTGCTTGTCTACCCTTACAAAGTCATCTCGGCTTCTTTATTATTGCGTGTTGCTGGTCATCTCATGAGGACAGATTATCCAGGCATTATTTTGGGAAACCTTGCTTTTCAGCAGACACCACAGTTAAAACCATCTTCATAGTGTTTCTACATATGCTGGGTCAGTTTGCCCCCTGCAATTTTAATCACTTGGTCTTAATGTGCTGCTTAGCTACTGGCACCATTTCCTTTCTCTTGCCTGTTTTAATACTCTTCTCGTTTCCTGGTTCTGACTCAAGCCAGGATAGAAATGATTTTCCCAGACCGAGAAAACGTTTGAGAGACAATAAAGTATCTGTGTCCAGGATAAATTTTTTAAAATTTTTAAATTTTAGAAATACTCCACACATCAAAAAGCCAATAAAAGACTTAACTTTGAGGCAATCAAAATATTTTTTTCTGTAATTTTGAAATACTTTTTAATAATTTTTTTTTTTTTTTAGTCTTTGGGATAATTATACTAACATTTTGAAACACAAGCTGTTTTGACTTGGAAAACCAGAACTTTTCCTTTTGAAATGTTGAGACAGTATTTAGAAATGTTTTCATTCAATAAACCTTATGGTTGCCAGCAGCTAAACTGATACTGTTTCAGGAGGGGTGTTTTTGTGTCATTAAGAATGTTTTAACCAAATATACATATACATTGTATATGTACACACAAACACATACATTTATGTACACGTATAAATTCATATATACTCACACATAACATATAAATAAATAAACCCCTCAGATTTTGGAGTGATATCAGAAAGTAGTTAGGAATGACCTGAAAACGATGATCAATCAGCAGCATTGCTACAATCACCCTGAACCGACTTTCTATACAAGTTACTAGAAGGCTTCATTTATCAGTGGGTCCCTCCCCTGCCCTGTCCATCTGCCCATCTGCTACCTTCCAGCATGCTGACGTGCATTGCATCGTTGGCCTTCTTTGGGACACTGAGCATCACTTCCAGACCGTCTTTGAGTTCCCCTTTGCCCTCCTCGCAGCAGGTTAGCAGTTCCTAAGAAGCAATGCAGAACATCTATAAACAAACTCCGACCAACATGCTAGCTTTGTATCTGAATATCTTAATGGATACACGCAACTGCTTTGCTACCAGTGAGGAGAACGCTGAATTGCATCAAAACCCACTTTTTGTATCTGAATATGTTAATGGGTACACGCAACTGCTTTGCTACCAGTGACAGGAGAACGCTGAATTGCATCAAAACCCACTGCGGATGCTCACAGATAGTGGGGATCAAATGGGAACGACTACAAAGCAAGACAAAACAAGGTGCTCTTGAGTGAAACTGGACACTCAGAAGATTTCTGGGGACATTCAGTCTAGCTGTGCCAGCCAGCTCACAGGAACCCCTGCCTGATCCAGCAGCTCTGGTGACTACCGCAAGGCTGGCAAGAGTGCTGTGCCCAGGGCAGGGAGGACTCTTCAGGAAAGATTCACCTCAGGAGGAGCCCAAAGGGGTGCTTTAGCCTTCCCTTTAGCAGACGGTTTGGGCAGTGCAGGCTCACTGCCCCACAGCACTAACAGGACTATGGTAAACCTGTGTGTTGTTCCAGTAAACTAGGACAAAGCACAGACTTGTCAGCATATTGAATGCTCCCAGTAAGTACCTTCCTAGTACAGCATAACACACATTTTGTATATACACAGGAAGGTTTAAAGAGATTATAGTATTATACCTGGTCCTAGCTTTTCAAAGTCAGGATCTGTCTCTTCCCTTATCCCCCAGATATTTTTTCTTCTCTGGTTTACTAGTTTTGAAGTGAACAGTGGCTGGTTAAATTAGATCTAAAATTCACCTACTCACAAGATACTGCAAAAGCCTGTAACCCATTTGCAACAAACCCACAAAAGTGGGTTAATGGCAAAAGTTAATGTTTCACTTGGAAGTCCTTTGATTTGTATAGGAAGCTTTTCCCTGTTTTTCAAACACAAAATTGTTAACTCCCTAACAGAATCTAATGCCAGTGAAGGAGTTTCAGTCAAGAGTCAGTGAAATTTACCAAAGTTCATTACTGCCATCGTTGAAGCCTTTAATCAAGTTATTACATCACAAACTTAGCAAGAAGGAAAGTAAACAGTTCTGTCATCCCTTCAATTTCCCTTTCCCAGTTCACACTTTTTAGGGTTAACTCTACTTGGATGCAAAAAACCCAGCTGAAACAGGTGATCAGTTTTTTACTTGGTTGGTTTTTTTGGTTTGGGTTTTTTGTTGGTTTATTTGTTTTTTGTTTTTCTGTGAGTCTTTTCCTTTAAAATACCCAACCTGATTTCACACTTTGTTGCCATGCTCAGGCCTGGGAAATAGGAGTATCAGCTCAGCAGGAGCTGTTTACAGGTCATGAACAGGTGATGAAGCAGCTCGCTTAAGAATAAGTTAACTCATTACACCTGTGAACTGCTCTGCACGAGCTGGTTTGGGCAGCTCACTAAGGTACCTTCAGTAGGAGTTGGTATTTTGTGATCCTCTGGACAGGCTTGATTAAATAAGAAGAGATAGAGTTGGCCAGGCCGTGTCTTTGCTGAATTTCCTAGAAAATATAAAAACAGCAGTCAGTCCCTGAAACCATTTACCCCCTTGCCAGAAAGAACCACCCATAACTAATTTTAGCTCTGGATCTCCGTATTTCTTTATTTTTTAACTCTCTTTAAGCTCACATGCAAATAACTGTGGTTTCATAGAGGCTGGCAATAAACTGCAGAGTCCCCCAAGGCCATCTAAACTGCAGGGGCTGTGTGTAAGTCAAGCTAAGGCTGTGTTGAGCAAACTACACAAGCTTCCATTTAAATATGACTTATCTGTCATGTTAAATGGCTTCTCCTAGCTATGAAGGCTGAAAGTAATCTTAACATTCAATTAAAACAGAGTGACATTAAATTAAATTGCATGCGTAGGGTGTAATTTAGCTGTCTAAACATAAGCATCTAGTACCATTTGAGAGCCCTGGGGTAGCTGAAATATCCACATGGGAGGAACAGGGCTGACACAGCGCTGACAGACCTATGCTATTCTGAGGTGGCACCTGTGGGCTGGGAGAGATACCCTTATGATACCTTTTACAGCACTGAATACTTCTGGTTTGTCATCTGAATCTCAACCAAAATGTCTGAGCTGATCAGTGTGCTGTGCTCACGGACTTCTGGAGACATTGCAGATGGGCATCTGGTGAGGCCTGCAAAGGGCCTGCTGCCTTCCTCCAACTGGTTCCAGCGGGAGTTAGGAGCTCCTGAAAATCCTACAGGACCCTAACACACATATTTAGCCATCTAAAAGGCTTCAAACTTATTCTTTGCTGAAATACAACAGGTTGGAATTCCTTCTGTCTCTGCCAGGCCCCAGGCATGTCTCCCCTTACTCCTGGCCATCAGGAAATCCTCAGTTCCTAAGGGAGCAGATGGGGAGGGGGAATGGGACTTATCTCCAGCTACTGGAGGGTAAATTTGAAGCTGTAAAGGGAAGAAGTTACAGAAGATGAAGGGGGAAGAGCTGCCAAAACCAGAGATTTTCTTTCAGTATACAGTCTGATTTTCTGCTGACTACCAGGTTACTGTTTTTTTTTTTAGCTCCAGTGCTTATCTTTATGCTGGGATACAAAACCGGCCACTTTTCACACAATATGCCAACAGATATTTTTTTTTTTTTGTACTAGGCAAGTTTGTCTCAGAAAAAAATATCTCTGGTGCCATGAATAAGACCCAAAAGGGAAGGGGCTCTCTGTGGGGGTTAATGGAGTTTGCATGAAGCTGAGTCACGGCTGGCTCCAAACAGGGACAGCGTCTGCAGAGCACATGGCTGGGACTCAATTAGGAACTGCGGGAGCCAGCAAGACCACGGCCATGTCTGTGAACTTCCTGGAGCTGGCTAAGAACACTTGTTTTTGTAGGATCCAAGTAATGAATTTAGCACTATCCTTTCTCCCAGCTCTCTGAAAAGCAGGGCATGCTCCCAGCAAAATGCCTCCCCTTCAGGCCCTCCTTGCTCTGCCAGGATGCTCCCTGGTCAGACTGTGTGGAGACAGAGTGGGATGGTGGAATGACAGCTGTCCCTGCTGCACAGGAACCTGCAGCTGGGAAGAAATAGCACTGCTACATGGCAATCAGACAAATACACTGCTGGAAAGGGACCTTCTCCCTACAGCTCCTCCCTCTGGTCCCTGAAGGGTTGCAGTAAGTCCAGGCTCTTCCTGGAAGAAAAGAACCAGCCATTTCCACCATATTAGTTGGGCCAGACTGTCCTCTGTCCTGCCACTGAACCACTGCCAATCCAGGATCAAGATAAGAAGGATCTACAGGTACTTCGCACTACCTTAGTCAGATGAGTGACTTGTAGAGGATTTGGGGGGGGGATAGCAATCTTTCTCTTTTTGCATATGCATCATTGGGTAGCCCAGCACAGTTCCCACCAAAGGAAGGAAAGCATCTCCCCTTGCAAAACAGCAGATGCTAACACAAGAATATTCTCTATTAAGCAACATCAGGCAGGTTTCTAGCCCATATACAGAGCTAGAGTGGAAAAGCTCAACTGAGGAAACACTTTTAACCTGTGTGAACAGCACTGATAAGACACCTAAGGCAGCCTAAACACTCAACGAGTCACCAACCAGTACAAACCATTCAATAGGCTCAAGCGCCACCTCCTGGAAAATCTCTTTCAGTTCAATTCTACTTTTACACCATTCGGTAACAAGGCAAAAGAAAAAGGTGTTCATCACTTTTCATCTGGCTCATGTGAGATCTTTCAGTGTTGAGTTTAATGGAAATGCTATAACTGTTGGTACATACAAAAACCAGAGGAGCCAATTCATGTCAGGCAGATTGGATCCTGATGAGTGGTTACATTCGTAAAAAGATTGTCATTGCTTTCGAAAAGAGGTATTAGCATTTTTTTTTTCACAAAAGCAACTAATTAAAGCTATAAGGTAATCAGAAAAGCATGGCAAAGTGGATTAGGTTCCAAAAATCAGATGGAAAGCTTAGTTTAGAAGTACTCTACAAAACTGGGCTTGGAACCTGCAAATGTTTATTACCAGGTGTGGTGCTTGTAAGGGAAATAGTCTAAGTGCAGCCAATGGAGTCCCTTACTAGCATGATGAAGCAAATGTTTAGAATCATAGAATCATTTTGGTTTGAATACACCTTTAAGTTCATCTTGTCCAACCATTAACCTAGCACTGACAAGTTACTACTAAACCATGTCCCTCAGCACCACATCTCCACACCTTTTAAATACCTGCAGGGATGGCAACTCAACCACTTCCCTGAGCAATCTGTTCCAATGCTTGATAACCTTTTCAGTGAAGAAATTTTTCCTAATATCCAACCTAAACCTCCCCTGGTACAACTTGAGGCCATTTCCTCTTGTCCTATAGCCTGTTACTTGGGAGAAGAGACTGACCTTCCCCTCGCTACAACCTCTTTCAGGTAGTTGTATAGAGCAGTTTAATAGGGTAGGTAAAATTGGCAGAACTGGAGGACAGGATCTTGTTTTGGACTTAGGGATTTCACATCATAAAATATAACGGGATATGCTTTTCATTTTACCACTAAACCCACAAATAGAGAGTACATCTAAACCAGATCTTTAGAAAGGACTGAGTCTGAAAAACGCATAAATGTTCCCATGAGAATGTGTGTCTCCATTAAAAATGACTTGCTACACTGATGAATATCACCCATCACACCACAGCCTATCAGTTTTCACAGCATGAAAAACCCAAATGTCAAAGCACAAAAAGGAACCCGTTGCTTGGGTGTAAAGAAGAGGTGTTTCAGCTGCACTATGTGTGTGCTGAAGGAAAATGGCAGTGGCTGCTTACATCAAAGAAAGTCCCTGCGTGTTCCAGGATGAGCTGGTTGGAGTCAGGCTTGTTTTTGCAGTAGGTGACATACATCTGAAATTTATCTGCCTGTGAAAATAAACATCAAGGGGAAAGCAAGATAAGCTCTTTCTCTGCTCGCACAGTCTTTCATTAAGGCTCACCAGGATAAATACAGGTGATAAACCCCCACCCTCTCAAAGCAAGATAGGAATTGCAAATTAAGAACAGAAGACTTTAGAGAGTTCATACCTTACCTGAGCAGTTCTGAGGGGAATGAGGCACACCGTCTAACAGCTATGGGAGGCTTTCTTTAACAAGTGTCACAGAGGGAAGGACTAAAACTTTAATCCAGCTATCAAATAATTTCTAAGAGCTCTAATGATGTTAAACAGATTTTACCCAAAAGTCTCCAGGTCTCAAAACCCAGTCACGAAATGTTGGCTCTTTCACCCACTTGAGATAAAGCCAGTGTAGAAACTCTGAGCAAAAGGCTCACCTATCTTAAACTGGCTTGAGCCAATATTTTTGACTTGAAACTGGCTCAGATTTGTGACGCCTGGCCCACACTTGCCTTTCCTACCTTGGTTCAGACTTTAATGGCTCAAACTTTATGTTGTGCTAGGACTGTTTTGCATTTCATTTCCTAATTTATTTATTTTTAAGAGGAAATTAAAAGCATCTGTGCACTTCTGCCTTAGACCTCAAAACAGTTTTGCATTGCTGAACTCTGGTCTCAGGGAGAGGCAGGCAAATAGAAGAGGAGAACGGCCTCCTTTTATTACTATTGCATTTTTTTTTTACACCAGGTATGTAAATAACACGACCCTGCAATTGGGAAGGCAGCTTTGTATGTACATCTGTAACTATACACACAGCTCTGGGCATGTTCTATTGCTGAGATGATGTGGTAGTATCTTAATAGTTCTGTGAAGATTTTGCACAGAACAATATGTAAATGTGTCCATCTTTCATAAATATGTAACCTCTTCTTTGTAAATCATATTTCAGAATCCATTTCGTCAATATTTGTATCATGTTTTTTAAATTAAAAGTCCATTTGAAACAATCCAAACATATTCATTTTTTGGTAAGTGAAAATGTTCCATAATGACTTTTAAAATATTAATTCCCAGTTTTGAAATATGAATAAAACCATCAGAGAAAACACAAAGATGGCTGATTTATATGGTAAATATTTTGAAAAGAGAACAGCTTTCATACAGATAAATTACTGTAGCCAATTCCTGGAGCCTCCTACGCCCACGAAGACTCTTAGCATCAAGATTTCAAAGTCCTGCTGGAAATTATCCTGGCATTGGATAACGGAATGAGAAAACACACTTGGTCAGCAATTTGACACTAATTTCTGAAGAAAAACTTTGATAAAATACGTTGTCCATCCCTTCGTAGAGGTCTCGGCATAATATACCATCCTTAGAGAATTTTAGTTAAGATTTTAAATGTCCATCCTCCCAGAGCCCTTCGCAAAGAAATTAATATCATCCCTAAATACAGGTTTGCTTTGATGAAGTCCAGTTAAACAGGAACCAGCAGAGGTAAAAGCTGTGCTGGTCAGTGCAGGAGGAGAGAGGCTCTGGAAAGCCTTCACACCACTGCTCAGGAGAAGAGCAGGGTTACGGAACCCTGAGAGAGATGAAGAACACAGCAGTTGTAGTTCCATATTAGCTCCTAATCTCACTTATCGCTAAGGATGCAACCCTTGCACCAATTCCCAGCTTGTTTCTGTCTCTGCTGAAGGAATTAATTTGAACAAATAATGAAAAGAAGAAGCCTCATTACCCATGTGACAAAGCAGTGGCCCACATCCTCAGGCAGTTGTTCATATTTCTCTAGTTCTTTCAGGAAAATGCTGAAAAAAAGAAGACACAGATGTAATCAGTTACAGTCAAATACCCAGGAGAAGCAGAATGACCAATGAGTTAATCAGTGCTAATGATCAATACTTGTATCTTGATTACAAGGCTAATCAAGTGTCTTGCCAGGGGAAAAAAATGTGTCCTTGCCAAGATATACTTTGGGTTTTGAGCACAGTCATGCATGACTCAACTAGAAAGGAAAAGGTAGCAATCCCTTGTAGGGGGTCAGTGTATTCAGGACTGCAAAGTCATGTTCAAGAACCAGATTGTGAATCCTCATAAGGATCTTGTGCAGTGGTTCAGAAGAAGAGTGAAAAAGAGAAGCCCAAAGCTGCCAGGTTTCCATCACCAAACTCAGCACAATGGGCAAAGGACAACAATTTAAACAAGCTTGATAATTCATAGGTAAGAAGTGAAATCCCCAAATGCAGATTTTGTAATCAGTTCTCTCCCAATACCTTGTACGAGGAGCGATATCTCTGTTTACAGATAGTACAATGCCTGGAAGTTGCAGAAGGAGAAGCAACTGAGCATGCTGTTTGCCCAGCCCTGAATCAGACTGAGGGATGCCTTAACACCACCAGCCAAAGAAGATTGTGCAGGATGCTGGTAGAGGTAAGGGGGAAACAATTTATTTTAGCGTTGCTAGAAGTTTTAGCAGGAAATGGATTATCCACAAGCAGCAGGCTGGAGGAGAACGGGTCAGAGAAAGGACAAATGACAGCAGCAGAGAGCTGAGGGGCACAACTGAGGGTTGAAGGGGTGTTAGCAGGGGGCAAGGGAAAGTCGAAAAGAAGAGTAATCAGAAGGGTCACTAAAATGAAGACATAGCACCACAAAGACGGAGCAGGAAGGCAATTAGGTGATCCTAGCACAGTTTTAAATGGGAGAAGAATACTTACCTGTATGACATGGCAATTATTGTGGGCTGGAAGTCAATTAATCTATACTTAAAGGTCTTTTTAATGAGATAAGTAGTTTGAATCTATTATCCTGATGTGCTTTGAAGCTGCTTGCACAAAAGCATGCATATGGCAGCCTCTACCGGACCATATTTATGTGTATGTGATGGTGCATTTATCTGGCTGAAGCACTGGAAGTCTCCCAGAACTTCAACAGGGAAGGTTTTTATGATTTGTTTTTCAAACTACTTTGGTTTTGATGTGTAACTTGAAGAAAGGCTTTGAAATTCAGACTCAACTTGTGGGATTCAGCACCCCTAAATTTTAAGTTTATAACTGCTAATGCATTCACATTATAGCAGGGAAACAATATCCTCTAAGCTGATCTGATATACAGTCTTCTCTTGAAAAAAGGGAGTGCTGTTAGTTAAAGATTAAATACAAAGAGTCTCCAAGAAGTGGCAGTAAAGCTACTGATTAACCCAGCTCATGTCAACCATTCCTTTTTTCCCCCCTCGTGTTTTCCAAGAGATCATACTTTTAACAGGCAAACTTCCAGACTAGATCTAGTGCCGTGAGACAGAAAGCATGTACAGAACTACAAAACATTGGTATAATAAGACTTTAACATTGTTAATCAGCTGAAGGCGAAGTTTAAACTCAATTTTAGTTTAGAAGTTTAAAATCAATTACTTTACACTCCTGTGTGTAATGTACTGTTGGTGTTACGCCACACAGATTTATAGCTATACACATGCCTTTGGTTTCCTTAGTCAGTACATGTTAACAGAACTGTTAGGAAAACCTACTTGTTATGAAAGTCATATATCTCCTGAATATTGCCAAAGATGATGTGTTCCTTATTAAGGATCCCAGCGGGTATTTCTTCCACTCCACTTGTCATTTCCCAAAGGTAGGTCTGGAAGACACCAGCAATTCTTAGCTTTGTGAATAAATGCAGTGAAAAAGAATAGATCTCCCTGGTTTATTGCCAAAGGCACAGGCTGACAAGGGAACTATGTGCTTTGAGATTAAACAAACAAGCTAAAAAAAATAAATGTTCCAGTGTCACAGAAAGCTCTCCAGAGAAATTCAAAGTGCTGACACTCAGAAGTTGTCTGAGGAAAAAGCAGAAACATGCCAACACCACCCATCTTTGCTGTCCAACTGATGGCGTCCAAAAACTGCAGGCAGAAACAGTTGAAAGATAAGCTGGATTTGCCACTTCAGTAGCATTAGATACATAAAAAGCTCTTTCAGACTGCAGGAATGTGAAAACTGACAGATTTCACTGAAATACACTCTGCTTTTTTTGCCCTGAATATCACAGTGCCCTGAATACCACAATATAACACCAGAACACCCTGCTGTAGAGCCAGGCAAGGTGTTTGACAGTGCAAATCCAGCTCTTTCTCTAGCATGAGATGATCCAAAGGAACAGATTTGAATTCTTAAAAAAATGCTCCATGATTCAAAAAAAGAGTAGAAACCAACAAGTTGGGGTCAACATGCAAATATATTCCCCTTTGCTGAGTCCCAGGATATTGCTCTCACTCTGCAGGCACATCTTTGGAAATAAAGCACACTCAGGTGTCCCTGGAGGTGCAGACCTCTACAGCACCCTGGGGAGCAGAAGGCAGAGTTCTGCCAGTGGGAGACAAGCTCCCTCTGCTGCCCACCCAGCTCTTCACCACCAGCAGGACACAGCTCTGCAGCTGGCCACCAACAGTGGTACCCTCACACAGACTCTTGTTAAGGTCAGCCTTTGCAGTACAGTGAACATCACCACCACAAAGGATACCATGCCCTTCCTGAAAGTACTGGAGACTTCCTGGGCTGTAACTTACCTCTAAACATTCGTGTAAGTCCCTGACATAAGCTTTTTCTGTCTGAAGCAGCTCAGCCATAATGAATCTGAAAGAAAGGAAGTGTTTCAGGTGTTTTGGACATTATAGGCATTTGTACAATGAACACAAAACATCCTTCTGTTGTCTTCATGAATCAGTGTCCTTCTACTCCAAGCCTTCAGCTGCCTCATTTTCCACCTTTCAGTTCCATGAATGAAATACCACTTCATAGTCTATCCCCCTGTAGGACTATTTTGTAAGTATCTGTTCTGTATAAAATTCTACTGCAGCTCTGAGGTATGATTTACTTTCTACATTCCCATCCCTAACAGTCAACTGATTCTCAGAATTTTTTTTTCCCCAGGAGCAAGGATTTGAGATTCACTGATAACACTTCCATCTTCATGAACAGTCAACAATAAGTCACCCTGAAACTTGACCTTCAGTTGCAACACAGAGGATTTGGGAAACACCAATACTTTGAAGGGGCTTCAACAGCTTGGAATCCTACCGGAGAAAATCCAGACTGCTGGAGAGCCCAGCAATCACATCTGTAGTGCCTGAGGCTGGACATGGCAGAGTTGAAATGCCCAGTGTTTTGAAAACGTGCCACAGGCAGACCAAGTGTAGCCACTGTTCCCTAAAGCAGAAATGGTTTCCTATCAAGGTTATGCACTCTAGTGACAATTTCAGAGGGCTGAGAAGGCTCGTACATACAAATGTTTTCCAGAATATTCTCACAAAAAAATTAAGACAAAATACCGTGAAATTAGACTGCTTCTAGATTTCAGTGCAACAAGAACTCTCCAAATATTTCCTCTAGTATGAAATATTTCCAGTTCTCTCAGTTCTACACCCACTGAAATTAGAACCTAAGCTTGACATGAACTCTTGTTAAAGCAGTTAACTTCTTGGGATGTCATTGGAGTTCAGATGATATCGAGACATACAAAGATGCTTTTTAAAGCTTTTTAAACTTTTTAAAAGTTTTTTTTGTGGTTCATTTTACTTTTCACATATAGCCGGAAAGAAATCATGGCAATGAATATCTCCACAACATCAGAGTCTAACCGAATTGCTTGACTCAATCCTTTCACTTTACAAGAGTAACTTCTTATTAAAACCAAAAGAATTTCAATTTGTATTTTCTAAACTTCTCTAGCCTACGAGTCACAACTTCTGCCCTACACCTGTAGACTTATCTCAATAGCTCCACAACTGTAAGGAGCTACAGGGCTATCAATTCTGGTCATGCAAATATCATAGAATCACTCTTAGAAACATGTCATGGCAGACTGTGAGCATTTGGGGACATACTCTTTCTTTCTGGCCGACTTTCTTTTTTCTTCATTGACTTCATGATTTGCATCTCGCAGCTTTACCTCCCGGTCTGAAAGACTTGCTGGAATAATATCTAGTTCTAGGTCCTTGTTATCCTAGAAAAAGAGACAGTACAGATTTAAAATTCATCATAACCCTACTGTTGTGTAGAATGAAGCATGTTCATGAGATCATGGATAAGAAGGAACAAAAGTAAGACAAGGAAACTAATGTTGGAAGGAAGGAAATTCAAAGAGATTTGGAAGAACTACAGTGAGAAAGAAGAAGGTAGAGAGAAATCTAAAAAAACACAAACTGTGAGATTTATTATAGTCTTCACTGTTAGTCCAATCTAGAAATAGGTACTGACAACAAAAGTCTAAATTTTATCCTGCTCCTTCACATCTAAATTTGTTGCCTAGTATGGAACTTCATAAACAGTCTGATAAAGCAGGGCACTATACAGAGACAATCCTAACTTCCAATGGCCCTCTGCCATGAAAATACCTTTCCAGACTGTGGCTAGTATATTTGTGTAAACTAGAGACCCTTACAAGGAACAGTACATTTAAGGTATCTTGAGGGTGTGAGGCAGTTGATTCCTCTTTCTTTGATACTCAATTTTGAAGGATGGTTGAATGAAATGTTTTTAAGTATTCTCCTTCTGGCACCCCCCACCTTAATACTGTGGCCAGGGAATAACAGGAGGTTCTAATTTTTACTTCTCTTTTGTTGCTCTATTTCACCTAAAAAAGCTCGGAGATGAGCTTGGGGAATCAATTTTTTGGTTAGTTAAGGGATGAGAGAATGGAAACGTACAGCCAAAGCCTGAGTTTGATTCAAAACAATGGTGTGGGATCAGGATTTATGGCTTATGCTAAAATTAACACAGACTTTTATTCAAATAATGTGTTTCCCCCTCCTTCCCAGTAGCTGGACAGTCTCCTGGAGAATGATGCAAACATTTGCTTAGAAAGTCTTTCTGATCTTCATCTGTCTCCTCCTTATATCACTGATCTGCCATTAAAATCCCCTTTTTTTCTTCAGAAACAGTTCAGAGCTTGGCTAGGTAAGTTGGCTAGGTTTTAAAGTGTTTCTAATGGACACACGATAACCTGCAGTACTCATACCACAGCCTTCATTTCCCTATGTGACTTTCAGCCTTGCTATACACCCCAGCAGGACATGGACTTACAGTACCTCTGTATTGATTCCAAGGGCTTTTTCCAGGGAGTAGCGGTATTTCCCCATCCTGAGAGAGAAGTCACGGTAGCGTTTGTCAACGGTGGTGACCCACTTCCTAATTTCAGTGGCGTGTATATGTCCTTTTTCTACAAAGCTGTCAGCCAGCTGGATGAGGAGCTTCACTTTCTCCTTTGTTTGCTGCTCAAAATATAGTCCTTGGTTACGTTGCATTATTATTATTTCCTTTGCTTTTAATTCACACAGCAGTCAGAAGCAGCTCACAATTTTTTATACATCATTACAGAGTGCCTGTACTTCATCATATACAGAATCAGATGCTTTAAACTTTGCCCAGTAAACCATGAAAGCAATGAAATTTTTACAAGGACACTCAAGAAGCTGCAGGAGATAGAAAAAGTCAAATTTTTGAAACCACACACACAAAAAAGGAAAACATGTTGGAAGTTAGGCACGCCTCCTTCCCATAACCAAAAACTTATTTTTTGTGAGCCTTGGAGTAGAAGATAGGGTTTAAGAATCACACCTTATAAAAACCACCAAGTTACTCTGAATCTATACCTAGGTGGTTCTGCAGACCTGTGTAGGCAGGTCATTAATACACCACATAACAGTCCAGAAAGTGAGTTTGAGTCACTACTACTCTGTTGCAGAAACAAACAGAATTTAAATCCAAATTCCTGGTCTACTGTAAAATTTCCTGTCAGTATTTTAGTTCCAGTCAGAGCATTACAAACTAAAAGATGCCCAAACTCCACAACATATCCTGAGACCCCAAACTTTCCAGAAATCTTATCTTTTCCACTTGGGCTCTGGCTGCCCTGTAGTTACTCTGGTTTTCTATGTTGAGGAACCCTGTGCAAATCTGGCACAAAAGACCTGGTTATAAATTTTAGCTTAGAGTCCAAATCTATCCTAGGACCTGAAGGTGCCTGGACCCTACGTTTGAGGCAACTCAAGTACAAAATGCTTATAAAAACTGAGATATCAACTGTATAGACTGCACTCCAGCTGTAACGCACATGCTAATCCTCAAAAGCAAAAGGAGAGCCAGTCGTATCTCCAGAGGTACTGGCAAGTTGCTTTTCAGAGGCAGGGAGAACTTTCCACTCTGCCTGAAGCGAGACATGCTCTCAGGTACTTGGTCATTATCAGCAATCCGGCCACAAACAGAAAAATGAATGTCAGACCAGAAAATACATAGCAGATTTTAAATACAAAACCAAATTCAAGAAGTTTCGCCAGCAAAATAAATCAGAGGTCATTTTATCAAATTAATTATTTAAGCAACAGGAGTATTTAATTATTTAAGTCAGGAGTAAAAACCTGACTTTCTGTTGAAGGACACTTCAATCCCAAAAGCAACTGGTGTTTTTGCTTTCCAAACAATTGGTTGGGCCAGAAAGTTATTGGGATCAGGAAGGCTTTCAGTTACAGCTTAATTTGAGAATAACATCAGTCTGGGAGTGACATCCATTTACCAGATTGCACGTGGCAGTGAATATATTTAGGTCAGCAGTAAGAAAGTGATTTACTAGAGCCTTAGGGAGCAAGATGAGAGGCATCAGTGTAAGGAACAGCCAGTAATAGTCAACAAGGAACAAAACCTCAAGCCTAGGCTAAGTCAAGAGTAGAAATAGTTTGGAAACTTCAGGATGAATCAGGATTATTCTGATCAAAATTAAATTATAACCTGGAACATGATTTCGGGTGGTTTGATTATGGGTGGTTAGAGGCCAGGAGTACTGTTAAAGGAATGTTGTACTGGTCCTGTCTGATTAAATGAACTTCCACCCACTGCTAGTTACCTCCCGTTTTCACAAACATGCAAGCTAAGGAAAAAGGAAGGGGACAAGAACACCATGTGAATCAAACCCATGCAAGTACAGCCTAATGAGGAATTTGAGGATTACAGAAGATCAATTTCAGGACAGTGAAATGAAGCTCCATAATACCAAGGCCACGGTCTTGCTGCAGTCCAACTTTGCAATTCAGATCCTTATCAGTGACTGTTAATACCCCTGTGGATTCACTGTCTGTGAATTACCTATGGCTTGAATTAATTTGTCTGAAGTAGATCCAATCGCCATTCCTCTGTAAACCCCAGCAGATTTCTCAGAATTGCTCCATATAAATTAATAGATTCTTGGTAATGTGGCTTTGTATTAAAAAATGTTCACCCTGGAGTTTACAAACCCATTTATTTAAAGTATTTTGTTGAGATCAGCCGATTATTGCTAATGAGATAAATGATCATCCGTGATCAAACCAGCTGGAATTAATGAATCAAATTGTGGTTGTAATGACAGAAGAAAGAGACAGGTAATCCAAGATGACCTTGGATATGTTCAGATCAATTAGTTACTCTATACTACTCTTGTAATATTGTTAGAGGATGGAATTAGGGTGTATCTCATTAGGTTCCTGTGAACTCTGTACACAAATGGACTTTCTCTTCCTTCTGATCAGAACAAAGAGTCTTCATAACCTGTACAAACCAAGGGGAGAAACCCCCCTTTTTGTGCCTATGCCTTGCTAAAAATGAAAGATCAAAGTTCTCAGACATCTTCTGGGCTAGGAATGTCAGGAGGAAAATACAAAATAAAGAGAATATTATTACAGAGATTTAAGGCACTGAAACAGGATCATAAACATAGACTAAGGCAGATGTCATAATTAGATTAAAGTCACTGTTTACCTTGGCAGGTACTCTGAATTCCCCATATTCCTTCAGGAGTTCCTGAGTTTCTTCTGCTGATTCCCCCGTGGAGTTGTGAGTAGAGAGGTAATATTCGCCTGTTTCTTGGATCCAGTCTAAGGCCTGTGAATGTAAAAAAAAAATGAAGGAAAAACAAAACAGTCTTTGTATTTCAAGAACTAATCCTTTGACAAAAAGAATCTGCTAAATAAAGGACATCAAATCCATTGGGACTTAATATGATGTGTACTAAAACACTTTCTAGGAATACATAAAAAGAGCACAATAATCAAAGCAAATGGGAGAGGATACAAAAGGTGCTGTACGTTTCCTAGGAGAAAAAGGAAGGTAGGGAATTCTACTTACATACAGATAAATGTGCACGCAGGAAAAGCAGTTTTCTCATTCAGTAATAGCTTCATAAAAGAAGTTCATTTGTTTGAAAATAAGTATAAAAGCAAACAAAACCAGAAATTAATCTGACCTGGCAAAAAACCCAAGTTTTGTGGTTGGGTTCTGGAATTTTCTTAAATTCTTTTAAATATTTGCATTTACCATGTTTTCAAACGTTACAGTTTTTAAATACAACTTGAGATTGCAACTGAAACTCCACACAGAGGCATTGCACGAATAAAAGAAATATTTACACACTGCCAGGACAAAAAGAAAATGTGGGGTTTTTTTTACACTACCTGCTTGGCACTGCGCTCAAAGACAACATATTGTTGGCACTGATCTAATCTTCGTTTCTTCAGGGTCCAGAAGTGAAGGACCCGGTTCTCCCTCTGCAGCAGCTCACTCAGAATGGCTGTACGGCAAAGGAAAACATCTACATGATTAGTAATCCTGAGTGCATACAGAAATAAGCCATAAAAAGCTGAAGTTACTCACTCTGCCTGAACCACACTCACAAGAGCAACAAACAAACAAAAAACCAACAAAAAAGTGCAGTTGCAAAGTTATCTGGTAAAGGAGAAGATGTTAGAACCGTATCTGGGATTTACTGAGTAAATACAGTGGGGTACCTGATTTATAGTTCTTCCATTCTCTTCTGTTGCCTATTCCAGGAGTCTAGTAGTGGTTGATGTAGGAGAAGTTACCCTTTTACTGCCTCGTCTGTTGCTCTGGGCACAGGCTACACAGCACTTGGCATCAAAGCCTACTGTCATGCATGAGCTCTGGTCATAATTGAATTTAATTCAGACCTGAGCCCCTAGTTGGACATACCTGGTAAGGTTTCTTCTGCAGCTGTGCTGCCTGGTGACCCCCTGTGTGCTGCTCCCTGTGCAGTTATTGCTGGGCTACAATTTTGGGTGGAGGCCTGGTATTGGTCCTCTAAACTGTTTTCTGTGTGACGGGGATGTGACAGACACCCAGATTTAGGAAGAGACAGACCAGCAGGAGACCTGCTACTCCTTGAATTCTGGAATATATGCACTCTTCAGAACCTGAATGCTGAGACAGACTGTATCAACTTGATAAAAGGGTGTGATTTAACTCCACGGGTTTCACCAAAAAGATTACACGCAGAGAGCGTGCAAGAGATTTACACTGTGTAAGTGACATGAACCTTAGTTAAACCCAAGCTTTTCTAATTAAACTGAGGTAAAGTGACGTGTAGCTGGCAGCAGCGTGGCTCATGCCAGCCATGGCTGGGTAGGGAGCTCAGGTGGCTTCCTGGGCAGGTGAGGCACATCAGCCCCTCCTGCCCCATTCTCAAAGAGGAGCATCCACTAGAGAGGGTTTAGGCTCATGCAGCCCGGGCAGCAGCCACACTCTTCTGTATTAAAACACTGAGTCTCCCTTCTCAGCTACTTCCAGTGACTTAGGATCATTTCCAGCATCTGTTAATAACCTTTCTCGCCCTAAACCCTTTCCGAATGTACTGATATTCATTGCTTATGTATCAACACTGGTGGCAACGAACAGATTTGGATGTACCCCTCCCCATTTACACGTGTGATGCTGATTACAGTGAAAAAATCTGCAATACTTAATTACAAAACCTAGCCCAGTCCCTGCTGACGGAACTCCAAATAACAAAATGAACTTGAAGCTTGACATGGTGCTCTAGGTTAGGTCTCTGCATAAACAGCTTATGACAAATAAAACTAATTTTGCTCTGTATCAATGACTTTGCTTTGGAAGCACAATAAGTGTCCTACTAAATGGTAACTTTATTCTAAACTAAAGCGTCCTCTTTAAAGATTGGGGGTGGCTAGACTTGCCAAGCATAAGAATTACATGTTTGCCTTAGAAAAAGACTAATATACTAGCTTTTTTTTTAATATAAGTGAGTAATTTCAAGCAAACTCAGTGAGGAACACTCATAAGCTTATATCAGGTGGATACTTAAGGGCTTGCTGAGTCAGGATTTAATTAATTTTCCTGTGATTTTTAAATGTAGGGAACAAAAGTCCACAGCAACAAGCATTTGACACAGGAGCATGGAAAATTTGAACAAAGTCATGTTAACTTTGAAGAACTGTTATAGAAAGAAAGGAAGGAAAATAATCTTTTCAGTAGCACTGTTTTCATCTTCTGTGCACAACCAAAGTTCCCGTCCCTCCCACATATATAACTGCACTGCTTTTAATCCGTAACTTTTTGCAGCTTGTAAAAAAGCCAATAATAATAACAACAAAAAAATGGTTTGTTTCTGCAGATTCATTTTACTCCCTCTTATCAGTACCTTGCAGCATCGCTAGGCACAGATTAACTGTTTAATTAAGCAGAGAAGTGGAAACATTTTAAACATCTCAGATGTATCAGCTGATTGTAAATGGTGCTCTTTTGACCAAAGGAATAACTACAGACAGATACTTCTACTGGTGACTGTTTGATGTGGTAGGACATCAAACAGGATTCCAGGGACAAAAAAAAATAGCAGATTCATCCTAGAGACAAACAAGTTTGGGGTTCAACAGAATACATCTAGACCTTGTATTTGATATCTGCTTATTTGTTTATGCATTTTTAGATATTAAGGCAAAATAGTGTCATATCATCTTGGCTGACAACGTACATGATGGGGGATGGCACAGTGTCCCTCCCATGGACTCTCCTGACAAGAGAAGCCAGACAGAGCCCATGTTTCATGTTTTCTTTTTTCTCCCACCACCACTTGCAACAGCAGAGTTCTGTACAAGAACACATACCCAGCAGAAGAGGGATGACTTTTTGAGAGCCTTGCTACCATTGCTAAAGGTGTCAGACATATGTATCATTTTAGCGACCGCAGATGGCAAAACTTAAGGTGCCTTCTCAGCATGTTCCCAAACTTTAGGATGACCACACAGTAGAGGGGGAAGCAACCAAAAGCTTCAATGCTGTCCTTGCACCAACCTTTCACTTGCTGCTCAGGCCCCCTTGTATGGCTTGCTACTCCAGGCATGCTGACATTGTTCCGGTGGATGTACTTGAGGAATACCTCTGCGTTCCTTCGTGCCAGCGTACAAGCCTAAGGAAAACAGCCACCACCAAAAGGAATCGGTAAAGATGAGCAAATAAAGCAAAGGGGACCCAAGGGAGTTCTCTTCTTATTTTGCAGGGAGGAGTTCTCTTTCATATGGGAACACGAGAGCTCCAGCTAAGAGTCAATAAACTCAGCTAATAAACTAGCAGCCTCATAAATTTAATACATGAGTCATTTTGAATATAGTGGCTGGTATTTATATCTTAAGGTAAATTAATGACAGTAATAAAGAAACAGGTTGTAAAGAGCTAGTACATCACACTTTTTCAATCCAGCCAAAGCTAACCTATCGCTCAAAACCAGCGCTCATTGTTTCAAAAAAATGTACAATCTAGAGGCGTAATTTCTTAAGCCTTGCCTGCAAGCATAGTTTCACGTTGTATATCCGTTTTAGTGGAAGGTGGGAGGCTGGCTGTCAATTGACTTGTCAGCCTGTCAGCTCCACAGCTCTTACAAAGCAGCACCTGGAAGGCAGGAGGAAATCTCTGTCTCCATCCTGGTGCTGCCCTGCAGAGACACAATTGCTTCAGTTGTCAGTAGTTCTTCAGTTATTGGCTTGGAGGACTTGAAATGCTGGATGGTTTGTATAAGCCAACACCAAAATGCTTTATAATACCTGTCATTTATAATATTCATCATATGCAATCTTGAGAATTTCAACTTTGAACTGGCACAACAACTAACATCCTCCAACTGCAATGCAAATACCACCTAATTAGTCCTGATGACATCTCTGAGATATGGGTTGATGATAATGATTATTACCCCTACTATAACAGCGTGAAACTGGCCTAGGGCTTGTACAGCCAGCCAGTAGCTGAACTGGAATTACACTTCAAAACTCCTCTCAAACTCACCAACGCTGCTTTAAATTGACTACTTAACGGGGAGTTTTCCTGATTTATTAGAGAACTAAACTGAGACCTTGAGAAAAGCCTCCTTCTGTTCCAGATGTTTGCTGATCAGAGGGATGACATGGTCTATCTCAGCTGCTGGTCCAAGTTTATCTCGACCTCCACACCAGTCTTCATCCCGTCTGTATTCTTGCTCCAAGCTCTCTAATACGCTGCACACCTGAAACATGCCCATAGCACAACAATTCAGTTATCTTCAATCATAATCAGGAGGAACATATTCAGTAAAAGTCTATGACCAATGACATTTCAAATCAAAATGCTTTGCACTAAGGGCCCTGCCATGGAGGATAAGTGGGTATGAAACAGACACTGGACAGAATGATCTAGCAGTTCTTCTGACCTATAGGGATCTCTACTGTTTAGGATGCAATTCATCTGGTTTACGGGTGATAAATCCTTCTTCTCTTCCAATGGATAATCAGGGGGAAGCTCAAAAGGTTGAATCAAGGCAGGGGTCAGTGTTGGTCCCAGTGGATCATTCAGGAAACAATCCCTATTCTGGAAGGGTGCTTTAGATGTCTTTAAATCCCACTGAAGTCATGGGACTTAGCACATACTTAAAGAAAAACACATGCTTAAATACTTTGCTGAAACAAAGTCTGAAGCTGGAACTAATTCTCTTCAGCTGCATGTTAGTTGCTCCCCATACAGCTTTTGTAAAGACTGATGGAAACCAATAGACATTAAATCAGTGTCGCAACATAGGTGGATGCAGGTGTTCTGCTGTACAGGGCTTACACAAGTATCTTCTATCTTGGTACATAAGGAATGATGGAATGAGGTAAATTAACCAAAACAGTCTGGAAACTGAATGTGCAGTGGCCTCAGACAAGGCTGAGTCTTTTGCGTTGCAGATTCTGAGAATGACTCTTGTGGCCATTGCAGACAACAGAAAAAAAGTGCAAAAGTTTTCAGGACCATTTGGAACTTTCCTCTTCTCTCCCAGATGGCTCTTCCAACACTCTCCACTGCTAAGATTACTCAAGATCCAGTCAGTTATTACTGAAGGTCCAGCTAACCACATTCACCCTTTTCTCACTCACTCCTGAAACTTTTATTTGAACACATTTATGATTCAGAGGACCCTACATCCTCAAGAGCATAGTCTGGAAGAGACCCCAGCATCACCCACCAATCCTCCCTGCACTATTGCAGGCCATTTTCATATAACTCTGTTCATGAACACACCAAACTCAGTTTTAAAGCTGGTGAACTGATTAACTTACCCTGTTGCCAGGCAGTTCACGGATCTTATGCATTTGACAATCTGAAATCACCTTCTTGCTTGAATGCAAACCAGCATTCACCCTCAAACTTTTATCTGAGAGCAAGCACCCCATGCATTATTCAGGCACAGAACAGCATTTCTATTTTACTTTTTAGTTCTTAAAAACATTGGTACTCTGTTGGACTTTGGTGACTTAAAAAATGAAAGCAGATCTTTCTGATTGAGGACTGCCTGAGGTCCACATCTTTTCAGAAAGAATAATATGCAAATATAATCTCTGTTGATATATAAAAAAAAAAATAAATAAAGTGGGCAGAGAGAAAGTGGGCTATTTGAAAACCAGGGCTCCACTAGCTACATCAAGAATACAGTTTACTTGGGAAAGGCAGGCATAAAAAAGTTTGGCTGGTAGTGACAGTCTCTCCACCCTTTTAGCTGCTTTTTCTAGATACTCAGACAATTTAGGATTCAGTAAATTACACAATCTACTGTTACCCAGTCAGGGAGCAGACCGTTAAGGACCATAGATCAGTCGTGTAGCCCAAGAGGAGACGACAGACTACTCACAGCAGCGAGTTTATGAGCACTCAAAGACTGAATGATCTTTGTCCTAAACATTTGCTGAATAGACACAACTACTGAATGAACTGGTGGGCACTGCAGTGTTCTTGTCTGTGACTTGGAAACAGGAAGAGAGACTGAATTGATAAATTACTGGCTATGCATATTTTGGCCAGCACATTTGACTGTCTAAAGCACTAATGAATCCCCTAATGGTTTTCATTTCTCACAGTCCTCCACCAGCAGTAATTCATTTCAATCTTGAATGCATCAGGGACTGTAAATCTGTTTGAAACTCTTCACAGTGAGACATTCATTATATGGAATGAATTCATCTTAAACAATCTTAAAAGTGCATTAAACAAATGACACCAAAGTGGCCCAAGGATCATCTACAGCCTTGATGCTAAGGAAAAAATAATCTCTTTCCATAATGATATATTTAGTTGTGCTAAAAAAACCCTTGCCGTGTCTGGTTCTTTAATTGAGGAACTAACTGTGTGATAATAACAACAGAAAATTTAATGGAAATCACTGCTGCCTTTTGTATAAAACCACAGGTTCCTGCAATGTTCATGCTAACACAAACGGCCTGGCTGCAGTAAATTATACCAGAGAAGGCCATTCGAGTGTGCACAATATGACACTAATTCTCACTGACCACAGTATAAATGGCACCTGTTTGTGCAAGGGATGAATAATCCCACTGCACCAGCAGCAAACTGGAATGTGTGCTGCAATTCATGCACATCTGGAATGAAGTAAAGTTGTGTTAACATATAATGATTACTGCTGTAATTATCTGTGTTGCAGATGGATTTAAGAGAAATCCCTTCATATCTTGGCATCTTTTTCAGTATGGTGGTGTTTAACTACTAGTGAAACACTGGCTAGTACTGCTCACAAAGTAGCAGGTAATTAATCGTGAGCAGTTCTCATGGAAAGGCAGATTTATATTCCCCAAAATTAACTCTGGTGTCATGAGAACTTGAAACAAAAATAGTGGGATTTCAGAAATTCTTCCCATTGGAAAGGGGACAATTGAAAAAAAAAAAGACCAAATTTCAAGAGTTACATTGCTTCACTGAAAACTTCAAGATGAAAGTTATTGCAAGCTGCTGCCTTTTTTTGTTTGTTTAGGGTTTTAGTTTTTTTTTTTCTTTTTCTATTTTTTTGTTACAATACTTGTCAAAGAAACAATTTTACTAGTTCAAACTTCAGTTTCCATGTGCAGCTTAAAATTTCTATGACAATGGAGCAAATGTTCTTTCAGTCAACTTTCCCGATGCTGTGAGATCCCTTGCTGGCAGAAGACCTTCTGCACTCAGGGTCAGAGTAGAAAACCCACACCTACCAGCACTGCTGCACCATGGAGTGTGCTCATATTGGTGTTTACCAGCTGGGACTCACCAGAGGGCTCAACAGTGGCCATGTTCAGGTGACAGAAAGGTTTGTATGCACCTAATGTGTGGACGAAGACATGCAAACATGTAAAAAGCCAAAGGGCCACTTTCAAGGGCAAGCAGGGCTGACTGAAGCCATGTTTCCTACTTTTGGGATTACTCAAGGAAAAGGGAGAAGAATGAGTACTGCTCCTTAGTGGTATTAGCAGAGCAGGCATTAGCAACAGTTCAGCACTCTGGAAGAGTGGCGAGACTGCACTGCTAATCTTGGGGAGAAGCAAGACCTTTGCACTACACACCATGACCTAAATCCCAGGCAGCAGCAACACGCCATGGCACAGATATGATACTGTTCAGCTCACCTGCTCAGAGGTTTTATAGAAGGCCACCGAGGCATTGACAAGTTTGAGCCTGTCCTCCATCTTCAGCATCAGCTGCTGCCAGTGCAGGGCCACCTTCTCGGCACATTCTCTGATGGCATCAGCATCATAATGCCCAGCCTGTAGCAACACTTCAGCTTTCTGCTGGACCTGCAGGGCACTCTGGTGTGTCTTCTGCAAGGAAGTGGCATGAAAGAGGGACTGTGTATGAGGTGAGGAAAGAGAGGTTGTACAGATGCGCCAGATGTATGAAGAAAGGTGAAGCGAGGTGTGAGCATGGAGATGCAAGAAGAGTGAAACATTTTCAGAGAGTTATCGTCAGTTAACAGTTACTTTCTGCAGAGCATTTTAGTTTCAATTATTCACACACATTTGCAACACGTTTTTAAAGCTTGAGACAAGCAAGCACTGGCTAGGATGGGTTAGTTCTACTGATCTGCAACTGCCCCTTGGGCAACAACCTGGGGTCAAGGTTCCCAGTGGATCCATTTGACAACCCCGACGCAGGCAGCTGTTGCACTGAGCTCCCACCCAGCCTGTGCTCAGCGCTGACTGCATCCCACACAGTCTGCAGTTGCAGAAGCAAACATCAAAGTGTTGGCAAACTATGGGTCTAATCACCCTAATGTGACTCTTGCCAGGCAGCCTGCTGGCATCAGCAGCTTGACTCATGTGTCTAACGGTCCTGTCCGCAGGATGTAAAACATCAACCCCAGAAGACACAAAGATGCCTTATCTAAATGGCATGAACTATAAGACAAATATCAGCCCCTACACAACACATTTCTGAAGGTTCACTCATACTGGAACTACCCCATGCTACCTTTAAGGCCAGAGCTGGGGGGAGTCAAGCCATTTTCTCCACTGTTCTCCAATTTACGCAGTGGCCACTTCATAGGCAGGACCAAATTATTTGGACCCATTCCCCAGCCCGCACCAGCTTCTCTGAGTAGCCAAGTGGTGGTTACACCTTTCTCTGTGGGTTGCTGAGAGGAAAATAGCCCCTGGCCCTTCACAGCCTCCTGAGTAACTGTGTTCAGGCATGGTTTAGTCCAATATTTGATTTTAATCTTCTGAACAGAAGCCCTGAAATCTCCCAAAGACTCCTCTGTTCTGCATCCCATTTGTAACTGCTGCTGACAAATTCTCATGTGATACTTTTATGATCTAATCCTTGAACCTGGAAAGAAGCTTGAAATCATCTGGTAATACACTGATGAATAATGCAATGTAGAGAAAGCTATTAGCAAAAGAAGGATTAATACTTGGCAGAAACATTTAGGAAGATGTTCAAGAACAACTGGTTAAATTTAATATCCAGCTGCTTTACTGATGTTTGAGTTGTAATACTTGTTTTAAATAGACTTTAAAGGATTTCAACTGAAAATCAATTCCACATCTAGAATGCCTTTAGAGAACAGTCTGCCCTGTGTGTTTTGCTGATCTCTTCCCCATATTGAGCTTTAAACACTTTAAATATTTAATCTAGTGTTTTCTCCCTTTGAAAACTTGCTTTCCCCTTACTGCGGCGTAACCCTCTTCTCCCTCTGTGATTTGCATTTACCACCAAACACCAGCACTTCCCCAATGGCATCAAGCTGCGATAACACAGCCAGTGGGTGTCCTGTTCCCCACCGCTGTCTGGCAGCAGCTGCCAAGATGTGGCCAGCACAGCTTGGTACCAGCCAGCTCCTACAGAATTGACAGGAAACTTCCTTTTCCCTTAGGAGCTGCAACAGCTTCCTTAGTGGGAGTGGAACTGAATCAAAAGAAGTCATTAGCTGAGATTTAAACTCTATACTTACTGGCAACACTGTAACGTATATGAACTTATTGAAAGTTTACCAGAAGACAAAAAGACACTTCCCCCCCCGACCGCATCCCCTCCAAATCAGGCATCTCTTCAAATCTCCATTACAGAAATGTTATTTTCATAGTTCGGAGTTTGTTTTAGTTTTGGTTATTTTCAAATACATATAAACCACAGAAAGGGATTTCCCAACTTGTGCCCTGCTCTCTAAAAAAGGTAACAATTAACATAATCTGGGAAACATACACATCTTGTTAAGCAGGAAGAGGAGAAAGCAATTGCCCCTCCTTCTAGTACCCAGGGCGAGCACACCTTGTAAGTGTAGGGTTTGCTCATAACAACAAAGATATATAAAATACTGAGCCTAACTATGAGTCTTGTAGTGCCCTACTCAGGGAAGTCCATAGCCCTTCACCACCTTCTAATCCAAAAGAAAGCAGCTCAGAGGTGGTGCTATTCCTCCTGTCGTGTCCTGGCCCCTTGAGTGAGGCAAATGAGTTGGCTCACAATTAGTTTTCAAGGGCCAGGTCAGAGATGTGCTACTCCAGGGCAAGCAGGGGGAAAAGCTCAGCTTTGCAGGCAGTTCTTAAAGATCACCCCTCGTGCCTCTTCTCCAAAATAAAATTGTTTGAGTTTGTGGGTTTGAATGAATGTCTCTTCTGCTGTCAACAAAAGCAGAGTGGAATGAAGATTTCACGTGAGAGCATTATCCAATAACAAAGATATTCATAAATGAATGCCATAAAATGATTTGCAAATTGTGGTTGTGGGAAGAAACTGCCTTTACGAACTTTTCCCATTCCTGCTTTGTGAATTTTAATCTTCTTATTTTTTTTACCAAAGAAATTGTCAGAAGATGCGCGAGTACAATTTTCATGAATGGAAAGGCTGCTACTTGACAGCTAAAGAATTAGCTGCAGATGATAAATGATTTATTTCACTATTAACCTCTGGCTCCATTACAAGTTTAATGATTAAGTTGATTTTCTAAAGTTTTTATTCCTCCCCTTCCTTCAAGCAAGGAGCAATTGATGCCGAAGAGACAACCTTTTGTAAGATGACCACCTGGGAAGGAGAAACAAAGTTAACTTATTCGTGTTACCTCTATGGCCAGCTGAAACTGCTCGTGCTCTCGCTGGAGCTGCTCAGCTTCAGAGAGGGAGCTTGCATTGACGAGGCTTGCGTTCAGCATTGATTCACCATTCCTGATCCAGCCGAGCACCTGGAAAGAAAGGATGTGCTTATGGAAAGGCTACATACACAAAGGTGTATGTAGTCACCGATCAGAAAATTCATCAGCCTGGCTAAGGAAAAGGTACTTTGCCCAGTGTGGTCTCAGGCTGAATCAGTGAGCAGAAAGAAATCCTAGGATGAGGACTTCATGACATAAATTTTTAGAAGGCAAAGATCTTATTGAAGAAGTTATTGCTTGAAGAATTGAACTCCCAAAGTATTTTTATGGATAGCTGGATAGCAGAGAGCTTTCACTTCCAACAAAATTCATTTTCCACAAAAAATGAATGTTCCCCTATGCAAATACCCCAGGGCAAAACAACATCTGGATAGCAGAGAGCTTTCATTTCCAAAGTTTGATCACAAAAAAATGAATGTTTCCCTATGCAAATACCCCAGGGCAAAACAACAAAGCGTAATGAGGGAAATTTGAAATTAAACATAAAGGTTTCTCTCTTTTCCAAATTTCCAACTGGAATTGTGGAAATTTGCAACTCCTCTCTGCGCCACTTGCCTGTGGTTCTTTCACACAGAAATCAGAGCTTAGGAGCGAGGAGGGAATATATGCAGCTGGTTTCATCTGACATGGAGTTAAGATGCAGTTGGAGTTTCTACCTGAACACAGAGCTAGGAAGAAATCCCAGGTCTTGCATTTTATATTTACTCAAGAGGCTTTAGTTCAGGGATATTCAGATTATTGGTAGACATGCAATGCATGATGTAATGACTGCAAAATCAAATCCTAAATATAAATAATTAATCTATCAAGCTTGTATTTATTCATTTAAGCAGCAACATTTTTTTCTATTTTAAGACATGTTTGGAAAATTAGCACACAGAACACACGTGCTGGTTCTGTGCCGTATTGTCTCAAAGCCTATTTTCTACCTGTGTGGGTGTCAAATTATGCCGATAAAGCCAGAAAGTTGCTGAATTCAATTCACAGATGCACAGGAAAGCCTGTGCCCAGTCACTGCCCTAAATTTAGCTTGTGATTTACAAAGCTCCAAAACTGACTTTGCTGCAATACTCTATATAGTAATTTCCCTTTTGTGCCATCATTTTCACCAAGTGATCCATTAAATTGTCAAAAGAAATAGGGATTTTCTGTTGTTTTGGTTTTATCCCTACATCATGTATCACCCTAGTTATAGTCATTCAGATCCCTGTAGGGGAGGAAAATGAGTTTTCCCTAGAAGAAAGAAAGGGTAGCCATCTACACATGTAGCTGACCCTAATTTGTAGAAAATTACATTCTGCTCAGTACAACAGTGTGGAAGATTTCATTTGTCAGCTTTCTCTCTTTCATCAGCAGGTGTTATTGTTCCTGTGGGAAATGCAACAAAGATTTAAAGGAAAAGAAATCAGGTTATCATATGGCAATCTTTTTGGCTGGCATTTTCTATAATCCATCAGACAAGAAAGCTACATTATTATCAACTACATGGTACCAAAAGCTGAAGTTAACCAAAGGATCACTGTATCTGGGAAAGACTGGAAGTGAGGACATCATAAAGCAAGACACGATTTCACATTTTATATACTGTGATATATCCTGACTTTGGCTATTTGGAGTGTAGAAAATACTGACTACGTATGCTAAAAACACCATAGCTTTTTTTTTTTTTTTTTTAAACAATACAACCAGGGTATGACAGGGTCCTCTTGGGAACAGCTTTCATTTGAGCTGAAATTTTCAAAGCTTGCCACAGAGGTTTCAATGTAGATTTCACACAAATATCTGTGCCTCTAAATAGTAATAAAATCACTGGAAACCTCAGTGCAGACAGGCCAAGAGCAAAAAATGGCTTTAAACAGACATTTCCTACAAATTACAGATCTTATCAACTTTGTAGAAACTGTGATTAAATAATTCTAGTGTTAAATAAATCTCCAAAGACTCTTTTAAAAAGCCTAACCATAACATTTTTTTATATTTTTTTTTCATACTGGAGAAGCAAAAATGCATTAGTAGCAACTTAGATAAAAGCCACCTGCCACTGGAGGACAATTGGACTGCAAAGGATGGGTTGTCTAACCCGGCAATCACCACAGGTCTGAAACAAGTCCCACCTTTGACTCCAATTTGCTTATAACAGGCTACTTCTGCATATGGCTCCTCTGAAATTAAATAATAGTACCAAGTTCTTCTAAAAATCATCCCCAGAAACTCTGCCACCTTCACTGAGCACAGAATTAGACCTTACAGGAAAAATAAAGTGAGGCACCTCTTGTGCAGCCTTCCTTAAGAAACGAGCACCCTGCGTCACACAGTGTTTGTGTTTGCTGGGTTAGTTTAGTGAAAATGCCTTCCTTCATGTTTCTAAAAAAGACTTAAGGCATTGGTAATGATACCCACCAAGTTACACTGGAAAAGATTTCTAAGTTTAAAAGGCAAAATATCGTGAGTGAACCTTTTACATCTCTGGACCCTTTACAGCTTCTTTGAGAGGCTCTTACTACCACAGACAAAACTACCACCAAGGCCACCTTCTGCTAAATTTTAGCCATGTTGAAAACTGCATCAGGTTTCCAGGAGCTCTGTAACATTAGATTGGGTAAAAAACCCAAATACATTCAGTGCTTCTCAAATGACTACCTCCTATCATACTTTGGACATATTCATCTGGAAGCAAATCTATTGCCCAACAGTCAAAGTGGATGGATAACAAGCACATGAAAAGGAATAAATACAATTTGAAACAACCTGGAAAATTAGCGTAGTGGGACACTCTGAGGATACCTGGGAGTAAATTATGTAAGTTCAACACTTATCAAAAAAGAAATAAAGTATACAAAGATAAAATAATGTGACAGGGAAGCCAAACAGCTGCAAGCACAGCATTAGAAGGTTTGTTTTTAAAACTGATCTCTAATACTCTGTTCTGCTATTACTTTTATGCAAGTGATCCAAGCTCTGTAGTTTCTGTCAGAAAGGAGTGGGATCCAAATGAGGGGAAATCAGTCTTGGGCAGGATCTTTCTTAATAACAAAAGAGTTTGTGAATCACTGATCTATACTATTTCCACTCTAAAGCAGTTCACAGAACATCTCATCTGGAATTGTTCCACTTTAATGGCCCCAAACTTTGATTCATTGTCTTGGCATTCAAACCCCTGGTGCACATGATATAAAGCAGAAATCCCTGGTAAATGAGACTTAAATAGATAGGGACAGTTAAAAGACTTTGTATTTCCATGAGCCATTATATCAAAATGCAAACACATGTACATGTAGCAGCCTTGACCAATTTTACTATGTCAGCAGAACCTAACCACAGCTACAGTAGGTGTCTCGCGGCAACCACATCTCAACTGACTCACAAGAGTGAAAGCACTTTGGTAATGAGATCATTCATCATCTCAGCTGCACTAAAATCAAAGTGAAGGAAACCTGGACCAGACTGGAGATGAACTACAAGCCAAAATTGATGTATTTCTCAGTTTCACTAAATGGTTGGGAATATGACTCATCAACAGGAAACCAAATTGATAGGGCACAGATATATTTTAACTTGCCTCTTTCAAGGAAAACTGTAGGTGTGGTAATTTATAGGTTAATAAGCAAAGGAGTCCTTAGTATTCAGCTGAACAAATAAAATGATTCTTCACTATTGGTTTGCTGAAAGGTCCCACAGTAATGAAGGCTCTGATGGTCCCAAGCTCCGTTAAGGAAATACTAAATCAAGGCAGCTGTTCTCCTCTCACAAGTCAGTATTAGATAGTTCAGTCCTAAAACCATTTCCTTTGGTTAGATTTTGACTTATAAAACAGTTAAACCCAGCAGATAATTGATAATGAGACAAGTAACATCAGGTTACTTGCAGAGAGTGCAGCACAGCCACCGCATGGCTCCAGGAGCAGCCACAGGGGTGACTGACTGGCACTTCAGCCTGGGCAAGGAGGCTCGTGACATTTGGTCAGATAGTGATAACCTGCATTTTTAGCATTTCTGCTACACGTATAACTCTTAGTGATATGTTAAAATAGCTCTACTTCATCATAAATCTATGGCACAAAACTCCAAGCCTAGCTAAGTTGCACGTAAGAAATTGGGAACATATGGAAAAAAGGATACACTTCATAATCCTGTGAAGGTGGTGATTATGAATATCACAGGCTTTCTTTTTTCCTCTTTTTTTTTTTTCCAGAAGAAAGCCAAAGCACTCTATAGAGCCCTGGAGCTTCATGAGGAGTTGGCCTTCAATTATCACAACTTCAAAATGACTCAATTTTCAAAATAAAAAAATAGGAGAGTTCTCTGTTATTTTAATTTAGTACTGCAAAATATTTACATCAAAGTGAACTTTGAAAGAAAACGTATGTCCTGCTGTCGGTGCTGCTGGTTTCTAGCTCGAGAGCTGTCTGAGAATGAACGATTTTTTTGCCCTCAATAATAAAACAATTCAGATAAAGCATCACTCAAATATTCAGTTTTGAAGACAGACTATGATCATGTATACTGAGCACTCAGTATATTCCTCTTTTTTTTTTTAGTAAACAAAGAAGCAAATCTTTTTAATGAACACCTTGTAGAATTTGGAACAAGACACCACAAAACCTTCCCAGTTGTACTGGTAAAACAGAAACCTGAATATTCCAGCTGTCTGGAAAAATGTTCCCGGTTTTCCTAATGAAACCAAGACCATTCCATTGAAATCCAGACATACACTGAAGTGTGAAGCCACCTTTGGATTAGGAAGCAGGAAGTGTAGCATTATTCTGTGTAGCAAAGGAAAACAAAGAAATGTGAGGCATCCAAGTAAAATATTGGGGAAATCTGGGGAGGCAGAACACAACTGCCTAGGTTAAAATGAAATCCGGAAGAAAGACAAAGTAACAATACTAAAATGGCTAATGAAGTCCAAGGACTTCAGGAAGCCTAGAAGCCACAGACTTTTTATCTCACCCAGAAGATGTTAAAGATTCCTGCAGCTCAACAGATGTATAGCAATAAATGAAAAGGCGAAACTATTGCAATGTCATACTTAAACCTCACAAATCAGTCACCCTTCGCTTTGGGCCAATTCTCCACAACAGCTTAAGTCTGGATCCCAAATCAAATCATTATATTCCCAGAAAACATGGGAGTTTGAGGCAGCTTCTCCAGTTGAGAAGTTATGGGGTCAGTTCTGCACAGATTTTCCATAATTATTCATAAAGCCACGTACATGCACACTAGAGGGAATAGAGCCCTTCGTTATGTGTAAAGGGTCACGCTGCAATCTGTCAGCAAATCAAGTACTCTTGAGGAAAGGGGGATTAAGATTGTCCACCTAAAGGTATGTGACTTGGCAGAAGCTACTTTAGCAGTTTGCATATATGTAATGGCTGAAAGCTCATTTAAGACGCGTAAGTGGGGTTAAAAACTCTCACCTGCTTGACTTCAGCCTGTAGGTGCCGGAGCTGTAGGCACTGCTCTAACCTCTTGTGAGTTTGCTCAGCATTAAGCTCAAGCTCATGCTGTTTCTCGTGAAGGAATTCCAGCAGTTCTTGAACCTGCGTTGCAAGATCAATGTCTTTTTCACAGATCAGCTCGATGCCTGCAACACGGAGAGAGAGAGAGGACATTGCACTTTTCTGAAATTTCAGTTGTTGCACAAATGTAACCTTTGAAATTTTTTGCCACCTAACACATTGATTTGCAACTCTCGGAGTAATTCTTTCTCAATGAACTCTCTCACACATAGTATTTGGCTTTCCCACTCCTATTCTCCATCACTACAAAGCAGTGTTTTTTCTACAAAGTAGTGTTTCTCTGGTGATCATTGCTCATCTCACCCATCAGCATGTGGCTTCTAGGAGATGATTTAACCAGAGCCTTGCTTAAAAACTTGTGTGAACACCTAAGTAAAAAAAAAATAAGTCAGAAAACCCCTCCCTGTCTTACAGCAATTAATTAACTTATACTTTAGAAATGCACGTTGAAAAGAAATTAGAAGAGAAAAAAATGAAGAAGAAAATAGAAAAGTGAAATAAAGGAAGCAAACTGTAGTTGCCAGATCTGCAGTAGTGCTACAAGAACTCCACAGTGCAAACTCTTTTTCCATCTGTGCATTTTAGAGGACCATTAACAAAAATTTAGTATAAACCAGCCTATAGTTCATTCAGAATTATTCCACAGACTGACTTTCATCCAATCTTCACACACCAGGGAGAAAAGGTGGCTTAGTACCACATTTCCTAACCCTTGCATCCTGCATGGAATTGATAAACCCCTGAATGACCTAGACCGATTTCATAGCTGACCCTGACTTGATCAGACGGTTAGAATGGAGACCTCCTAAGTCCCTCCTGAATTTTCTTACGACCCTACAAGCCTCGTGGGTAGTGGTTACATGAAATACAACGCAGAGCTTCATATCTTCCTTCTTTATTACACTGGTGCGATAGCATTGCTGGGTACGTTATCAGCGTAATTGTGGAAGTTTGGCCTGGAGGAAATATGACATCATTCCATGTTACTGTAATCCCTGTGATTATAAACTAATAAAGACCCAACTCTTCCTTTATTGAGGTCTGCTGGAATTTTGCCATTGGCCTCAATACAGGGAGGATCAGGAACCTAATATAAAAATAATCAGATTGTAGTAATGCTGAGAAAACACTACACTTTTCTCCAAAGCTGTTTGATTTCAGGGAATAATAGGACATTTAAAAAGAAATGTGTTAATTAGAAGCTGCTGTACAAAAGGCTCAGATGCTATTTTTAAAACCCATTTAGAAAGATGCCTTTTCTTCCCCCTTTATCCTCCTCAGAGACTTCTGACTTCCATTCTCTCTCACAGCAATACCTACAGAGGACTACACAAAATAAAAACGACCTTATTATTACCCTATCCCCTTTTTCCTGGTATCTGGTTTTACCAGAAAAAGCACACAGGAATGCAAGTGATTGGCTTATTCCCTTTCCCAGCCAAAACAAAATAGTTTCTTCATTACCAAATAAAGTGGAATGGCCCCTGGCTTCCCATTTAGAACTAGAAATTTAATGTATGTTTCTATTCTTGGGACTGAAGTTCCTTTCAATTGCCAGACACCAGGCATTGTTGCTACAATTAGCCTGCATATGGTTCCATATCCTCAGGACATGATGGTGTTTTGTATGCTTGACTTCACCACACCTATTCCATATTAAATGCACGGTTTTCCTGCATGCACACTCAGCTGGTATGGTTTTGATTGTGCTAACTCATCAGCAGCAACCAGTGTACTGCCTGGGATGCTATCCAAGGGCAGCCCGCGCTCCCTATGATGAATGATCTGCCCTTTCTTGCTTGTCATATGTCACGCAGATTTATTCTACAGTGCCAGCACACGCGGCGAGAGCGCTTATTCTTCTCAAAGATTGGTTTGCAAAATAGAAAGCCTTGTTTTTCAGAACAATTTCATACATTTCATACATATTATCTTTACACTGTGTTTTGAAAAGCACAGCTGATTTTCTGATACGACGAACTTGGTTGCCATTTTCTTCCAATGTCTCAACCAGTGCAGCAGATTTCAATTGAAGGATAATGAACTGAAAATGTTGTAAAAAAATATTATAGAAAAGAGTACCGAGCCACACTTACTGGCATCCTACAAAACATACATGAGTTACAGCTGAGCGATTTGCCATGTGAGATACTATTCAGTGTAAGGAAGGGGTACTGCCTTTTGATCTGTACAAAGCTGTTTTGAAACTGCTTTGAATATGTTCTTAGGCTGAACTATTAAAAGCCTGTGACAGGAAAGTTTAGTATCTTCTTCCTTGCAATATAAACTAGAGTTGTAACTAACTATAAATGACATCACAAACAAAATGTAATAGATTTGCATTTCCCTTTTAAGCAATGCAATGCTGGAAAAAGACATGAATGATGTTAGCTTGACAGCCAGGAAACAAAAGGACTTTGAATTTTCCACATAACAGGTAGGGACTGTGTACACTTCCTCGCCATCAGCTTTGCAGTGTATTTCAGGCTTGACTTAGACAAATTGCTTCTAAGGCATAAAAAGGTAGCTCCGTAAACCATGAGCGACTCCTAACTGTGGTTCTCATTATGACAACGGTACTGACAATGCAAATGGACTTTAACAACCCAATAAATTTGTGCAATCAATTAATCAGCTATTAGAGTGTAACTACTTTCAGCATCTAGAAGCAGAATGACTAAGGTGCACATGCTAACGAATTACATGAACGCATCAGCACTGAAGCTCAGGTCAAGATGTTAAATTGCTGTTGAATTATGACCCTAAAGTTTCCACAGGAAATGAATCTCCCAGAAATGTCCAAGTTTTGGAAACACCAGGCCCTTTCAACATATCAGGTTAGACACCCAAAAATCAATATCCATTTTTGAGAATATTCGTCCACATATTAGGCTTTGCTATCAATAGTAGAGCTACAATCAAACTGGAAAAATAGAAGATAGGTTCATTGAAATAAGAAGCGGTGGCTTATTAAAAAGTCCAGTCTTTTATACATTCTATTCTATAACAGAATACTGTTATAATATTCTCTAAATGCAAACGTTTCCTAAAGGACACAGATTTTAGTGAGACATGAAGACAATTTGGAAGTACTGCAAAATTTCAGAAAACACAACCTGACTTCCAGATCTTACATATCCCCTAATGGAAACAAACATTGCCTTGAAGAATAATTATTCTGACTGTGAACACAGGCTTATCCAAACCAGGCTCACCCACATGTGGTGGAATAGAGGAAGGAATCACAGGAACATAACTCTGAGCTGGATGGAGCTTTGGAAATGCTGGACTCACAGAGATGCCTCACATGTACAGATGCCCTGAATATCTGTACGGAGCCTGATCTGGTGCATCGCAGGACCTCTGCATTTATTGTGCTAACATGACAATGTTCACAGTGATTTCCAGATACTCCACAGCCTGCTAAGAATCACTGCTCCAAATTTGCATCAGACATGCAAAAATCACAGGCAAATGTTCAAAAACCTTTTTCTACCTGCACAAGATTTCCAAGTAAAAAAGGTATCATGCATGGAAAAACCTGGATGTAATTTTATCTGACAGACTTACTAGCTTAAAGACCTCCAAGCCAAATGCCAGAGTAATCAAAACTAAATCAGTTTCCAGTGTGACATGATAAAAAGAATAAAGCTCAAAGAGAATTACAGGGAAGTGAAGAAAAGTAGTCAATTAAAAGTGGCTGCTTAGGTACAACATGCCTGAAAAATCACATTTTTTCTGGCTCTATCTTCTGTGGCTTCAGCTGAGTTTTGATTGTAGCAGGGGTGACACTGTACAATAGGAAGCAGCAATAGCAGCTGATTTCCCAGAACCCCTGCAAGTGCACAGCGCTGGCAGTAAGAACAATCATCCCTTAACTTATGCACGGAATGACTATGATATAGGATTCAGGAAGAGGGAGTAAAACTAAATGAATTTTTTATGGAGTATAACTGTCCTTTATTGAAATAAGAAACAGTAGGCTCCCAAGAGCAATCTCTCTCCCTTATTTTGCCATTCTCCCAGCATTTAGCATTCCACGCATGGCAGACATGACCATTACCTTTGATTAACTACAGTTACTCTACAGCCCCATGAGGCTTCTGTTTCCTTGCCTTTGGGAGCAATGGATTTTTATTGGGTAGGCTTCATAGAAAGTGATCTTAGATAATCTTATAAAAACATTTTAAAAGTCACTTCATTAAGTCGCTAATCTTTTGTCTGCAATCCAAAAGAAGTTGTTTCTAACTTCTTGACAAACACAGAATTTTATTCACCCGCCCCCCCAATCCATCACTGAGACTCCTGACTTTGCTCTGGATCATACTTTTTACCTCCCATGGATTCCTACTGATATTAAGATTCTTTCAGGATTTAAAAAAAAAAAAAAAAAAAAGAGAAAAAAGAAACAAAGGTATCTTAACTGATGTATTAGGACCAGTTTTCTTGTCCAAGAAAGCAAGGGAGCTGAAGCACAGGACCAGGCATAGTGTGGGCAGATCTCATAGAAACTCATGCACATGGTTCACGCAATGCACCGGATTGTCTAGTTCACAACATACTCTTGTAGCAGTCCTTAAGCCTCTGCTGAGTGCAGCTTGCCAAAACAGGCTGAATACTGCCAGATTTTTTTAAAGGTGGGTGCCTAGAGGTAAAATGTTTGCCAAAGAATAAAACCATAAAAATCCGTCGTATTTTGAAAGTGCAAATCGGGAGGGAAAGAGCAGGAATTGCTCTTGCTTTCAGATATTTCAGAAGGTTAAAACACATTACAAGTAACATTCACTTCTGGACTTTACGCAGTGATTAATCTGAATTATGATATTCCTTTTCCAAATGCAAAATACAAGGATACAAAAAAACCTGATTCATAGGATGTCTTAGAAATAGGATCCTACTGCTGAGAAGCAGAGTGTAAGTATCAGACAGACTCCCTATCGACATGAATCAAGTCTGTCATTTAAGAGCATGTGCCAAAGGTGGGTTTTTTTACATCCAAGTTGCTACCTTTAACTTTCAAGTGCACACTGAAAAGGAAAATTCAAGTATGGTTTATCCTATTCCCTTTCTGTACAAAATAATTCCAATTAGAGCTGGCTGGAAATGAGAGTTCCTTTTCATGACTGGTTTCAAGGCTCTCTTATTTGGATTCTTTCCTAGAGGGTTCTTGGATAACTAGCTTCTTTCTCCCCTCACTCCCCTCTCTCTCCCTCAGGCATGTCTGCACCCTGAAATGGGGCACAAGGAAAAGGTACTCAAGTCTGTGAAAAATGAAGCCAGCACATCTGGTCACTTTGCTTCTCAATAAAGTCTAAATGCAGAAAGGTTAATAAGCTCAGGAGTCTAGAATGACTGCCTCCATCCAGACCTGAGGTCTGACCAGCCAGATAAAGTATCTGTTAGTCCCAATTCTCTGCAGCACTTGTTTCTGAGCTGGTGCAAGGACAAGGACCTACCAGTGTAACTTGTCTTGCCCTCCCCTCTCCATCCACTTTGGGATTGATCACAACCTCCATCCTGCAGTTTCTGAATGAAACTTGAAAATCTGTTTTATTTCTTTAATGAGTTTTAGTCTCAAAGAAACAGCAATTTTTGACATATAATCCTGAATCAAAGAATTCCCAAAGCTTGTGGAACAGTTCTGGGAGTGGAGAGACAGGTATTGCTCCTAATTACTCATGTTAAAAGCTGATGTATTTAGTATGGATTGGGTTATTTTTGCTTGATATGCATATTTAGGGGTTGGGGTTTTTCTTCTTTTTTTTTTTTGCTTTTTCTCATGTTAAATAGAGATCAAATGTTCTCTCACCTGAAGCCTGGACCTCCATGATGTATTGGTGTAAATCTTGTCCTTGCTGGATGACTTCAAAGGTCATGTTGTTCATGGCCAACTTCCGCTCGGTGTGACGCTGCAAGCGCTGCTCAGCCAGAGTGAGATCTTCCGTATTGAAATCATTCATTTGTCTCAGCAGATCTTCATTCCAGGCATCTAACTCTGCTGTAACCTTCATGGGCAGAAGACAGATACTGTATTCACTCAAAATTAATGAAAAAATCTAACTCTCAAACTGTGTTTAGATCACCGAAGTACTTCACATTTTGACTCTGATCCAGAAACCCCCAAACCACAGCCTCAGTACGCTCTGGATCGTGCCCACTTAATGGTCACGTTTAACATTTTGCTTAGGTGAGGACCTACGAAAAGATTATTGGTCCAATGGGAAATTTGACTCCTCCTTTTTCCCTTACACATTCCAAGGAGCCCTGTAAGAAAAGACCCACTTTATTGAGATGGATGGTAGAGATAATGTTTCTGAATAAATTCAAATTTAAATGAAGAAGTAATGCTTACAGAATTGCAGAACAATTTGTAACACTTGTGACCACATAATCCCCAAATGGTCTGAATGCTCCTAAAAACATTTTGCAACTCTCTGTATGTTACATATTACAGATGGAAATATTATTTATTCTGTCTTCATAGAATTGAAATTATAAGCTGCTTTCACTTAGCCCTAAAACAGGGATAACTAATACATTTTCAGAACTATTACTGACATAATGTATTGTGAGCAGTATCTACCCATTGTTTGCAGAAAATGCATGATGAAACAGATATTTATTATGAATTTGTGAGTTAATCTCCACAGCTCTGACTGCAATTGTACAATGAGTCCTATGTTGTGATTTCACAGACTTTTATATGGGCCTTTCTGTTGTCTTCAGTGGACTTGGGAACAGGCCCTGTATAACTTTTTTCTCCTGTAGATCTGAAAGATTTACACTGGGGAATGAACATAAATAATTCACTTTTACAGATGGGGAAAGCACAGCACAGAAAAATCATACTGAAGGGCTGGGTGAATCACCAGTAAAATCATGAATGATACCTGGCTCTAACCAAAGACCTATATAACCTGCCTGTAAGTCATGGGAAAATGCAAAATCTTCTGTTATAATCAGGAAGCAAAGAAAGTAAGAGGCAGTCTGATGATTTTAGTAGCCAATTTACTGTATTGTCTGTATTTTACATTTTAGCTCACAAGCAGCCAATCGGTATCAAAGTCTGTCTCTGTTTTTGCCTGTTCAGCTAAAGCAAGATCTAGCCTCCAGCCAAACAGCACAGTCTCACCTCAACCTAGATTCTGCTACTAGAGACAAAAAAAGAGAGAACTTACTCATGAAAATGAGTGAGGGAGGGGGGAAAAGGGGAATGGGATGCATATAGGCCAGCACTGTGCAGAATACAATTCTTTAAAGTATTTAAAATTATTAAATATATGCCTTAATTGTGATTAATAGGTCAATTCCTCATAGCTGGATTCAGGACAACTAAATCTAGGTATCTAAATTTCCACTTGTGCATGTTATTATGTAGTGAAAAGTTCTCTGTTTCTCACTAAAGGAGCTCTTCAGTGCCTGTGTGCAGTGAGATGCTCAACTTCCTAAGTAGCCAAGATTCAAATTTTTCTATTCAGTTCCTTTCCAGAAAGCTTACTACCATAACTACCATTATATCCAACACAGGCACAGGAAGGCATCCCAGTCGGGCCAGCTCTCAGCCCTTCTCAAATTAGCAAGGATGGGATGGGAATATACAGTTTTGCATTAGAAGAGAAAACATAAGGAGGTTTTAGGCTCTTTTTTGAGAGAAGCAGAAAACCAGATTCACTCAACCAAGAACCTAGGACCTCAGCTGCAGGGTGAAAGGCAGAGCGTGGACATCCTGAGGGGCTTCTATTTTTCTTCAGCTTGTTCCATTGCCCATTCCACTCAATTACCTTTAAATAATAGCTATCTCTACAGTCTCTTTGGCCCCATTCCTGGTTCCTGCAGCCTCTGATTCATTCACACGTTGTAGCTGGAGTTCCTGGACTGTGGAGGCTTATTGGCAGATTTAACAGTTATGGAGAAATGGTCAAAGTAGAAGCTGGGTTTTACTAAATACATTTACATTTAGAGACAGATCCTCAGCTAACACTAAACAGAACTGAGGTGGTCTCGACCTTGTTTCAAACTACAAATAACAGAATGAATTTAGAGTAAGCACAGGTTCCTACAGTCATGACAGTAACACTTAAAGTTCAATACAAAGCCCTTTGTAGGCATGTGATATAAGAGAAACAGAAGAATTTTATTATTGTCTGTTTAAATACATTGCATTGATCCTCAGGCTGCTAAAACACAATTATTGGAAATTTTTCAAGGATTAACGAAATACTTCCCAATTTCCTGTAAACACTCCCATGCATGTGCACTCAGGATGATGCATAACAGCATTTATAAGTGACAGTAACAGGAAAGATTAAACCAAACTCAAAAGAATGAGTTAAATTAATTTGCTTTGACAGCCATGATGCTACAATTGGGGGATTCTGATCAAAACAAACTCCTTCCATCCCATTTATATCTAAGGACATCATCCCCAGGACAGGAAAATGCAAATCTTTCAGAGGGTTGAACTACCAGAGGAGTTGACGATGGGCATATGAAGGAATCAACAAAAGTTTCCACAAGTACTCTGAGATTCAGTGGTTCTACAAAACTGCCTGGGTAAACCTCTCTGCTGTAGTACTGTTTCTCTCAGTAACTTTTCCACTTGGCTGTGGAAGGGACATTGAGCAGTAGTGGTTATAGCACTAAACCTACAATAATCTCCATTTGAGTGCAGGGAAATGGCTGTTCCTGACTGTACTGCCTTTTGCCCCTTAGGCATGAGTGTCCAAGACAAGTCTCTAGCAGAGAGGCATCATCATTCAAGAGAGGGATTGCCTCTCAGGCAACCAGCGCTCCTCGTGCTCGTGTTGGCAGCCAGCTTTCACCAGGATCACCTAAATATTTACCTGTCTTATTAGCCATTGCAAGGCTCTGAAGGGTTTATGCTCCCTTATCCACACTCCTCAGTTCAAATCAGTGGTTCAGTTAAAGACAAAAGGACAGTACAGCCAGTCAGGACATGAGCTGATAAACTCCTTGGGATGCGAGGCCAGTCCAGGGGGCCCCATCTCATACTGCCAGGACCGGGAAGAGGGGCTAAGACTGCATCTGAGTGGCTCAGATGGCACCTGAGTCAGACAGGTCTTAAAGGACTAGTTAGCCCAGTAGCAGGTCTAACAGGGCCAGAAGCACAGCCACCAACGGAGGGGAGAAGGAAGGAAGAGGGGAATTGCCTCCAAGTAGGGGCTGATGAAGGAGTGAAAATCACCCCATGTGTTGGGTTAGGGGAAGAAAGGAAGGACAGCGAGAGGGAGAACATCACCAAATTTGTCAGGCGAAGGGTGTACAGGAAGGTTGGGTACATTGCTCTGAGTAACCAAGACAAACAGATGGCTAGAAAGGAGTCTAAAGCACACGAAGGCAAAGAAGCAACAGCAGAGCTGTGATAATAACCCAAGTTTCCCAAATCCCAATCTGGTGCCCTATCCTAGAGACCATGCTGCTTTACATATCTCATTAAGACATTTCCTTTTCTGTCTGTACAGCCAATGCCACAAAATCTCAGCATTTTCTGTACTTCAAACTCAACCATTTGGCAATGGTCCTAGAGTCCGAATTTGAGTCCATAACTGGTTTGAGTTCGGGACAGGGGAAATGATTTGTTTTTCTTCAGGAAGAAGATGTAATCATGCAGCTCTGTTAACTACAGATGTATATTTTTCAAGTCTAAAAAAAGACTTTGCTTTCACAGACTGGTCAAGCATTGACATCTATGGTGAAACTTGGACTGCATCAGATAAAAGTGTCCTATCCCTTAAGTAGCAAGAGCCAATTGCACTGAGCCTGTGTCAGGAATTGTCTCACAAATGAGGCACCCTCAGCCATGAACTAGTTTAATTCCCTTTTTGCCCAGAAGAATAGCTGATTAGAGTTCACTCTGCTCATCTGCTAGATTTTTGGTGGGAAGAACTGACTGCACTTTTGTTTATTCACTTTACTTCCCAGTGTTTGTGATTCTAAATAGACCTTAGCATCCCTCACACGCCCTGAGAGATGAGAAGCCCCACCACAAGAGAAGCCCTGAGCTGTGCTCTGTTCTGCTGTGGCACAAGAGAGAAATTGTACCAAAGCAGAAGAGTCATGAGAGCACTAACAGTGGCACTGCACAGGTCTACATTAGTAAGCATGAGGCTTATCCCCAGGTGCTCTCGCTGTCCCAAGGAAAGCTGCACATATGCCTCATTGTCAGTCACATTCCAGCTGACTCCTTGGAAGAAGCCATTGCAGGTCATATAAGATTGGTGGCCAAAACCAACTCCCTGATACTAAAGAAAGGTCAAGTGACCCCAGAGAGAAAGACACAACAAAGCTATTGACTGACAATAAGACTAAAAAGCACATTTCTTCATTCTTTGCCTGAAACAGGTGATCCTGCTGCCATGATAAGGGGAGGGGAACTAATGCTGGTAGTGAGCCCAACCTAGTATTAAATGAGATACCTGACATATCCTTATCAGAGCAGTGGAGGCAGCCCAAGAGTTAACTTCAGCACATGAGCAAATACTGAGTTCGTGCTGAGCTCCATCCTTCTATCACAAGGCTATAACAGATATACATACTGTCAGCCAGGTCTGTTTTTCATGCAGACACAGTGACCACAGTCTAGACCACATACTCTTTAGGCAGGAATCCTCTTAAAGCAGCAACTTAATATACCCAAACTCCCACTGCTGCAATAGTGCTGCATTTGCTGCTTCCTGGATTTGTCATTTTGCAACACCAGCAGGTAACATGACCAAAGGGAGAGAGACATGTTCATCTTCAATCCTGGAGAATGAGGAGAGGTATAGAGAAGAGGTACGAAGATGAAAAGTAATAGAAGTAATAACAGCAACAGCAGCAGTCCAGCCATCTCATGCCTACCTTGTGAATTAGGCCAAAGACCCTTCACAAGCTGCAGCAGCTGCTGTACATCTGCAATAGTTTAATATCTAAATCCTAAGTATCTTTTTTTTTTATGCGGCTGAGATTTTCTACAAAATGGTGCTGCTGAGCCTTGAAAGCTGCT